AAGATTTATAAGCTTTTCTAGCTTTGCTGATGGGGACGATGATTGCTGTACCTCATTAATTTTTGGACACACACCACTCATTCCAATGTGTATCTGGTGAATTGAACATGTAGATTCCATAATGGGCAGACAGTACAGATGTTGACACAACATTGACAATTTTATTGGTCTCACAAGGTTGATGCCTCCATGACTGCCAGTTTTGGACATAAACTGAGTTTCTGACCTGATATACACCGCTGCCATAAAAATCTGTAAAAATATGCAAAATGATGGGCACACACAAGGGAATGCAACCCTCATTTTTCCATATTTCTTTGGCCCCTTCTGCCTTGTGTATAATTTTATATGTTTTCTGCATTTTCTAAACTCAGTGGTAAATTTGAAATCTGGTGCAGTGTGAAGGTCTATCAATATAGAAATCAATTAAATTCAATATTCCTTTCCAAAACATTCTCCTCCACATTTTTGTCCCCTACACACTTCCAGTACAAGACGTATTTTTATATGTAATGACAGATTGTACATGAGCAGTCTTGTTTTTCCATTGTTTTGGTGGTTCCAAGAGAAAATGGAGGAATTTTTGGCACAAACTTTGAGAAGATACATCAAGAGTGCCACTATACTGTACCCCAGTATAGTATAGTTGCAACTATACTTTAGCGAACTATACTGACTATAGTATCATTTCATTAACTATAGCTGAAGAATGTTTATACATGTTTTGAATCAACTTGTCCCACTATACTATACTGTACAGTATAGTATATCTGAGTTTGTTTTATCTATACCCTATCAAGTATATTTTGAGTAAGTATAGTTGGACTCTATACTACACCAAGTATAGTGAAGTATAGTAAAGTATAGTATAGTGACAGCCTTGATACCATGTACATGTATATCAAGCAATTTGAGACTTCTTTTCCATTCATTTCATCACAATTTGCCACAACAGCAAATTGCTTCAGAAAATCAAACCTCTATGTACAATCAAAAATTACATATATAAATATTGCAAATAGAGAAAGACTGTGCAGAACAAAAATGTGGAGAAAAACATGGCAGAGAGGGAAGCGCTTTGCGCTCCCCATCTCAATTTCAAAACATATGCATATTAATTAATATAGAAGATATTCAAGATTTTAGCCTTAAGTATAGTATAAAAATAGTATTTTTCATCTGTGATTTCTTTCTCAAACCTGAATCACTCCTTCAATTCACATCATGAAATTTAATGGACTATATATTCTTGTTGAGGAAATACAGGAGCAGTTTTGTACAGATTTATGATGACATACAACATCATCTCAATTCTGGTGATATCTCAATAAATTCCCAATGGGGTACATAGTCAAAAGAAAGTTTCCCAGAAGTCTCCAGGAGTGACATCCAGAAACTTCTGGGTCACCTACAATTCCTTTTGGCTGCTTTGAGACTTTTGGGCTCCAGAAGCCTATTTGCACCTATGAGCCTACTAGCACCTGTTAGGCTAGTAGCAAGGCTGCCATTATACTATACCGGTATATTATACTGTTGGTATAGTATATTTCAAGTATACTATACTAGGCATTATATGGAATATACTAGTATATTTATACTTATACTATGCTGAAAATATACCCAGTATATTTGGATTTACCAAACATACCTGGAAGACACCTATACAAGTTTTTGACAAGTTTTTATAAATATACTGCAGTATATTTCAATTATACTATACTATACTGCACTATACTATACCAAGTATATTTAAGGTCCAGTATAGTATAGTGCAGTATAGTACAGTATAGTATAGTGGCAGCCTTGCTAGTAGGCTCAATAAAAAGGTTGTAGAAGGTCTAATCACTTAACCCAAAGTTGTGGAGATCAATATCTACAAGTATAAACAGGTAGAGACTTGGACACAAGATCTTTACTTGCAATAAACAAGTAAAGGCTCCATTTGGTTGACCCTGCAACAAAGGCTTTGGCCCAGGGATTTTGGGTTAATTATTGTCTTTACAACAATTAAAAATAGGAGGAACTCACGCGCAGTTCTGGTCCAAATGTGATCCTCTTTTTATTCATAGAAAGGTCAAAGAAGGTGGTGTAAAAGTCTATTATAACACTGGGAACTTTACACTCTGACTAAAGGAACTTCCCCCGTAGATTTGAATTTTCTTATATCAGATGAATCTCAAATCTGATATAAGCAATACTCAAGGACTGCTTCCTTACAAGTAATTCAACCAAATTGATATTACAAGAATTACTGATTATGGAGTCTAATCAGAAACAAAGTTGTATGAGCAAACCAAATAAGCATCAATACACAAGGTTTGTACAATCAGGCCTTGTCAGGACTGATTTGATGGCTAGGAATTGCTCCACCAGATTATTGTAAGATGGACAAAAAGTGGTTTGATCTTGCAAGATTTGAAAGCATCAAAGATTCTTGATGCAGCCACTCAAGGCCAGGCCCCAACAGTAGATGAGGTGAGCCTCTTTGACTACCTTGAGGACCAGACGGGTCTGGAACACCTTGGAAAAGTAGAGACACTTGAATAGAGTGTTATTCAAAAAAATCTCAGGTGACTATCAAACAAATTCCAAAATTGGTTGGCTTATATTAGCTAAACCAAGGGTGCAACTATACCATACCGGTATAGGTATAGTTAGGTATAGTATTCTTTACACCATACTATACTATACTGGGTATAGTATAGTTGAACTATACTTTAACCAACTATACTCAGTATAGTATCCTTTCACCAACTATACCTGGAAAAGTGTTATATATGTTTTCCATCAAATTATCCAACTATACTGCAGAGTATAGTTTGGTATATCTGAGTATAGTTTGGTATATCTGAGTATAGTTCATCTATAATATACCAAGTATAGTTCAAGTGCAGTATAGTTTGACTATACTATACCAAGTATGATCAAGTATAGTATAGATAGTTGCAGCCTTGGATAAACCTTCACCACATAACAATTGGCTGGATGTTTAGGGATTACCACATGAATGAATTGGTATTTTCCTCCAAGAATTTCTTTGTGCACTATTTTGGTGAAGGATGCCCGTGTCAAATTGATGGCAGATAGTTCATGTATAGCCTTTTCTTCAACCTGTCCAATGGAAAAATGGACAGTGGGCCAAATTGCAAACAGGGACATATTAGTATAACTTACTTGATTGTACCCCTGGGCATCTAAAGGATTCAAAGTCAGGATTATCAAAGCACAGGCTCTGATGAACATCAAGTAGAACAATTCTAGTATACGAGACTTCCTGTAGCCGGTACTTGCAAGGAGAAATATGTCCCAATTTTGAGCTGGACTCATAGTCACGTCCATTTGAAGTGTTCAAGCATTAATGTGATATTTGTCGTATAATAATTTATGTATGACTTCACGCTGATCTTCATTGTTGAACCTGAGTAATAATTTTGAGATTGATGGTCAGAAATCTTTAGGGTTTGCTTTGGTGGTAGCTGGAGAGGCGACTGGAGTCTTTCCAACATGAGGCAAAGGTGGAAATATGGGACCTTGAGAGCGAGTGAGCATGTCGTAGTTGGGTGAAGTCAAAGTGAATGCATGATGATGACAGTGGTGTCTTTGCTAAGAAAGGTTGCCCACCCAAACACTTACTGCCCTTATGATATCTAAGGCCTACACCCCTTATGCCATAAGACTTTTAAGTCTTATGACCTTGATGCCCAAGTTTTGTATTTGTGTTGATTTGTCCAAGAACAAATCAACCAAATCTGATTGACTGCCTGTACACCCAATCTGAGGCTGTTACAGGAATACATAACCACCATAATTGGTCATGGCTCCAGCAGATGCAAACCGAGTCTGTTTGTGTTGAAATAAGTACCAAAATATGTAGAAATGTTTGGAGATCAACACACACAAAACTTGGACCTTTTTGTGGAGAGGGGACCAGGGGAAGTTGAAGAAAGTACCTAACAGTACTTACTTCTTAGAAGTCCTCCGCCAAAAATTGCGTCTCTGCAATAAGCCCCTCTTTGAGGTCACAGACTCAGCTGCAGGAGAGGGGCTTAGATAACCTTAGGAGACTCTCAATGTCTCACCCCCAATTGTGTGAGGTCCTTTGGAGTGATTTTTGGCTATTTGACCCCCCACATCATCAAGATCCACCACAAGTGGGGCACCGCTGCGGATGCTCTAAGTCCCTCCCTCGAATACTTGGGCGGAGGGACTTTGATAAGTTTACAACGGTCCTGGGTGGGCAGAAGGACCCGCACATACGGAAGACAAGATGTGAGGTGTCTACCAACCAATTTTTTGTTTTTTGTTTTGTGTCTTTGGAATTTTCCCCTTGGACTAGCCCGGTATGTAAGATACATATGTGTAATTGCATACTGTAGTCCTGTAAACCCCATAATATGCCTCAATGGTGATTCATCACTTGACAAGTTGGCAGTGTTGCTGTTCATGCCTCTATACTGTCTCAAGGTACCATCAACTACACCAAATGGTGATTGTTTAGAGCATGGCTGACTTTGTGATTTTTCCAGTTTTTCTAGATCATACCTCTTAATCCTTTGGTTCATTTCATGTAGGTTCAAAAGTTCACCTGACTGAGGATAAAACTCAATGGTTGAAGAATTGCTTAGGAGATGAATTGAATCATTTCTTCATTTTTGAATCATTGTCTCATCTTGTATTGTCTCATCTAATTATGTGCTGTTTTGATTACATAGGAGGATCAAAGATGTATATGAGACGGAAGCAATCAATCAGACCACAAACATTATCTCACTCCCTTATGTCAAGGTGGTAGCACCAACAAGGTAATTCAGTATTCATTGACTCAGGACAGCAGAACCTAAAAAAATGTCCTTTAACTGAATTTATTGTGCTATGATTGATTTCAGGGGTTCTAATCATGAGATGGATTTTGCATTTTATTGAGACTTGTTCCGGTTATTGGTGCTCTTGCATTGATCACCAGTTTTGGATTTGTGGGAAGTGCGATAAATTTCTTGCAGATGGGTATTAAATGGAGTACTATCTTGATCTGGGCTTTGGATTTGATCACAATTGTCGTTCCATCCGCCTTACCAGCAACAATTCCAATTGGTACCTCTTTCTCTATGGCACATTTGAGGAAGCCGGGAATATTCTGTATCTCACCCAACAGAGTCAACATCAGTGGCAAAATCAACTTGATATGTTTTGATAAGTGACTTCAGTGAACTGTACAATGAGATTGAAGACACATCAATCTTTGTACCAGATGATAAGAAAACTCCTCTTATGCATGCCTTGGCCACCTGTCATTGGTTGAAAGTAGCCAATGGATGAGTTTTATTGGCTCGAGGATTTTGTCCTGAACTTCATTGATCTGCACCATAATGTGGTGTTGAAGTGAATCGAGTAGAGGACTGATGGGTGTTATGCTGGGTGACAGAGTAGAGGAGAGTAGAGCAATGAACAGCAAAGTGACAAATCACAAATCTATGATTGAGGCATATTATGGGGTTTACAGGACTACAGTATGTGATTACATAGATGTATTTGACATAGCAGGCTAATCCGAGCAAAAAGTTCCAAAGACGCAAAACTAAAAACAAAAAACAAAAAGCAAAAATTGTTTGGCGGACACCTTGTGTCTCGTCTTCCGTACGCATGTGACATTGTCAATTTGACTTCTGTCATGTGGTGGGCGCGGCGCGATGTTGACGCCCCGGTACGCGCCTGGCGCGGGCGCGCCCGGGCGCGTCCTCTTTGGTCCTAATTGCGGTAAACTCCAGGATCCGGGGATCACCTGAGAATTATCTGAGACGCTGAGAATCTGAGAATCCCCCCTCATAAACCATGATATATGGGTTTATGCGACCTTCATCCGCCCCTTCAGGAATGTAAATACATCCTCATACCGTTTGTGCTTTACTTTTGGACATATCCCTTATGACCTGGGAACTGGTACTAAGCTATGTGGCTAGACGTGACTCCTTCCACACATGTGCCGGACATGCGCGTGACAAATCGTTCCCTCACCAACTCAGCACTCAAGCCTAGCCTAGTTCACGTGGCTAGGCTGAGTGCTGACTAGGCTGAGTGCTGAGTTGACGCATAGCAGATTGTTTAAATAAATACTTGATTATTTATAATAGATCTCCGAGCTTCTCGGATTCATTGGAAAGTGGTCACGTTCAATGATTCCGAGAAGACAAATAAAAAGACAAATAGACTAGACTACTACTACTGACTGGTATGATATTTTTCACGGAGATACTGAGGACTCCCATTAAACCTCCTCCTATTAAACCTCTCAGTGTCAATATCAATATGAATAAGTGTCAATATCAATATGAATATTATGCCCTTGGCCCCATTGATCAACACCTTTTGTTAGAAGGTTGGGTGCGGTGCATGAGAAATGTGACTTGACTCTATCATACTTTAGAAATAAGGAAAGGAGTCACTTGACACTCTTAGGAAGTTTCAATGCAACAGGTTTTGTTTAGAGATTTGTGTTTGAGAGGGAATTTTTTCCTTTGCACCCATAATAACTTAGAAGTGATGATTTCAAAAAGACCCAAGATAACCAAACGTTCCATCACCAGCAATCATTCCTTTCACTTCAGCATGCTACTGATTGACTTTGTTGGCCAAATGTCCAACACCAGCGCTCATCTGAGCACTACACTAACTGTCAGCAACTTTATTCAATTTATATCCCTAGTGTCCGAAGTTCAACACAACGCTGGAGTTTCTTTACGGCTCACACAAAACCGACCAACCACGGTGATACCTTTCCTGACCAAAGCACTGTCCCCAAACTTTCCTGACTACCTCATCAACGATCTATGGAGTTTAACCTTCCCACTGTTATCCTTGACACGCTTCGACCCAAAAGCCGCCATTTGCACCTTTGGACTTCGAACTGACTTGGCCGACAAGGACAAGCTCCCTGAACGTTTCCTACGCCCGCCTGTATCACAATGTGTAGTTTGCCCAAAATCACATAATTTACATGTCCATACCCGCTTGAATGGGTACCTTTTCGACACCAATGGCGTACACTCGGTTCAGATAGTCATCCTGGATTGCTCAGGTGAGAATTAATTCAAACACCAACACCACAGTCCGGATGCATGACTCAAATATTTGATATGACGTACAGGCTGTGGAGCATCTTATTGCCCCAGTTATTACACGGGCAATAAATTTTGACACTATTACACCGTGCCGATGGGACGTGATGTGGAGATTATCCATGTGCACTGTCATTATTACATGACAAACCGTTTGGGTAACCTGTTCCAAGTGATTCAAATGTTGGCTCAGTAAGTTCAAAGTTCAATTGATATGTCTTTTATTCATGTGACTCAAAATAAAATTCTTGCATTATTCTAGTGTCTCCCACTTCATTCTCACAAACTGGTATAATGAGATCTCTGTTGAGGACTCCAATGTCCTACAGTTTGAATCAGCGCAAGTTTTCAGTCCGGCTATGTCAGAGGCAGTGTGCCTAGATGGGCTCAAACTACGCGACTTGTTGGAGCACGAAGACTGAAGGCAGCAACAACTGCTGCTTCCTGCAAGTGGCACTGATGATGCTTGTTTTGAGAAGGCTATCGCCTCCCACCTGGACCGGCTTGACATTAAAGGTACAAGTTTCCGTGATCATTACTGCAGCAGCTGTGCTCGAGTCAAATCAGGTGGTGTGGATCCGGAGACAGGTGAAGAAACATGGCTAGGTACATACACAATGTCCTTACTCTTTTGAATCCGTATTCTGTTTGGATTTAACCAAATACAATCCATTCCAGGAATCCAAGCAGTTGTCACCAATGGTCTCACTATTGGGCACTGGCGTTGCAGTGCTTCCACAGAACAACTTGAAGAGCTAGCAAAAATCTCAGGACTACCTCCACCTGAAGGCCCTTGTACTCATCCTCTCGACAAGATCAATGATTGATTCTGTCCCCTTCACCACTCCCTCCTGGGCACCAGGTGTCATGTACAACCTTGCCGAAAAGATGCCCTGCCAGATTCCAAAACATGTGGTCTGACTGCCCACATCAAAGCATGGGCAAAATTCACAGAGCGTGTCGAATCAAATTTTTCTCTCACTGCCATCCTCAATCGACCCAGTTCCAATCTACCATCCAATCCAACGGTCCACCTGGACGCTGAAACAGGGGAAATCAATGATCTGGAAGGTCTACGCCAAGCCGATGTATCTGATCGCATGCATGAGGGCGCCCGCAATGGTGGAGCCTCGCAGGCTAATGCAAAACTTGTGGTTTCAAGATGCTGAACTCACAATGATCAACTAGTGGTTGGGTGTTGCGGCATTATCTTGGCGCGGAAAACCTTTTATCACTCAGAATCTGTGAGCACTGTCAAGGTATGTGCTGATTGTTTCTGATGCGGTGTAAGTTAACAAATTGATTTGTGTTGCTCTTCTCAGTATTTTTTGGAGGAGACTTTTCCTCAAGGAATGCCTGAGGTCGTGTTCTACAACAATGAATGTCGACTCACCGAACACATATACCATCAAGTCTAAGATTCCAGCCGATTCCAAGGTACTGTGATACCTGTGGATCCTTTCCACCACCGTTTGCATGCGGAAAGTGACACATTTTGCAAAAGATTTACCAACCCAAAGCTCTTTCCTGATATCCAAGAAGAGGGCAAATGGATATTCAACGCGCCCGCTGCAGAACTCACCAACATATGGTATGGAGCTTTTGCATCTATGTGTCGTAACATGCACTCCCTCCAGTATAATTTTTTCTTGGAACAAATGGTTCATTTGAGGAATCTTTGGCTCACAAAGAAATTGAACAAGCAAAAGGGAATGTTGTTCTTGGGGCACGGTGTCCTTTGATAGATAGAGGGAATTCAAATAATGTTTTGGAATTATAATTGCTCATTTGGTTTTGGATTATGTGTTGTTTTCTCTCACACAAATATCTATCTAATAGATAAAATTTGAAAATACCTCGGGTTTTGGTGAACCTTTTTGTATAACCTTTGTGAGCTTCCAACTGACCATAGTCTCTCATAGTCATATGACAGACCGTATATTGCACAAACAAACACAAACAAAGAACATGTGATAGTTATTATTGCACTTGACACTTGAAAGGAATGTAAATGTAAAAGCAACGGATAACAAAGACATGTTTGTTCTGTGGTCACGGGGACATTTGGGAACATTTGGGATCGATTGTGATTGTGACACAAGGGGCCATCCATCGAAGCACTGGGAGCCTGGAAAGAAATCTGACCTCTAGACAATTTCGCGATGGAGTAATACCTGAATGTGAATGAATCAAGGTCAACAACTGGAATTATATAGGTGGATAAGCTTGGATATGCTGTAACCCACTTGAACAATGAGCTGGTTAGATTCTGTATCTTTTGAAACAACAATTCCTTCCAACCACATCACTGTGCCTATAGTTATGTTTCTTATCTCTGATAACTCAGGGGAAAAGTGGCCAAAGCAATAAGTGATCGCGAATTGCAACATTGTACCTTCCTGGAGTGATAGATAGCGATTGGCAAGTCATGTTGTTCTCAGTGAGTGACAAGTCTGCGACAACACATCAACTGCAGTACTCACAGCCGAGTGAAAGATCTCATGTTTGGCTTGGATGTAAGATGCCATTCGCCATCGTCGTTGTCATTGTCCAACGTCATTCAAAGTACTTTGCCTATTGCACTGATCTTCGCTTTACCAGAAAGGTCTTCAGGTTGAGGGGGGATTGTGGCAACCAAGCTCTGAGTCATGATGCTATGTTTGATAAACGCATCACCGTCTACGAGGTCTACCCCCACCGGTCCATGTATATGGTAGGTGTGATTCCGCACAAGAAAGTCATCAGATATGCTAAGTCCATAAGCTTTGAGTGGGCTTAGTATGGGCTGGCCTTTGTTGTCCTTCAAAACTAGGTTGGTTTCTGTCTGGTGCCATGCTACACCGCCTTCGCCCTGCGCCTGGGTTGGATTCACTGGGGTGGTCTGTGGATTTGATTGTTTAAGGGAGAAAGATAAGAGTCAATAAAATAAAAACCAAAGACATCAAAAACCACATAAGAAGATGAACATGAGCCGTACATCGCTGGTTGCGGTGAGGATTGCAGAGAGCGTGGCAGTAAGGGGTGGTTGACGAGGCATGTCTATTGTGCTGCTTCAGCTTTGACGACACAGACTCCGCTGCGCCTCATAGCATCTGATGCTGATTTTATATCTTTCACGGAATCGAGGTTTGCTGGCTTGACATACATACACAGGGTCTGAATAATCACTTGTGGAGGTGAACCCCAAGGGTCCTCCTCAAGTGCTCGGACTGGTAAAGCTAAGGGGCCTCCCCTTCTGTTTGGACTGACTTCATCAGTGGCAACTACAGTTTGTTGAAATAGAAACAAAACTGACCACCCCAGTATTTCAATTTCATTGGGCTAAAGATTCTATATTAATGACAAAGTGGGATAATTGGATGTTTTTTGGTTGTTAAATCAAAAACTCAAAAACCGTAGTGGAAATAGATGTGATTAGGCATTTGATACCCCTTGGAACTCCTTTTTGAAAAGGATTCTTGCCTCACCAACGGTCGCACGCGCATTTTTCTGGTACTGCGCCAAGAAACGGTTGTACCCCACCCGTTCTACCCACAGCCTGTTCCTATATACCGTTGAAGCAACCAGAATCCACTCCTTACCCCAAATGTCCTGCCATGCCTGCAATGGAGGGAGAGTCTCACACTCCTTGTACCACACGAGGAGGGTTGACACAAGCACCAAAGAACCGGGCCACTTTTTCTTCAAGACTCGGGCCGAGTCCGTCAACACTGGAGACGGGGTGGGCGGGGTGGCAACACTTGCTCCTTCTCTATATGAGAATAAAATGCGTATACATAATATACATCAGGATATAAGTAATAATAGGCAGACGTTACTGATGTCTTGTAATAATTACTCACTGTGTTTTTGGGAATTTTTGTGACAACATGAAAAGGGTCAAAGATTGGTGGCTTGGAAATTTCGCGTTGGGAGGCAACCGCATCATCAGCTTGACTGGTGGGTTCAGGCAGGCTGCTCTTTACAAAAATAATGTTGTCGTCAGAGTCGGGAGGCAGACTTGTTGGAAATGAGGAGACCACTTGAGGAGGGTTGAGGCCGTAGGTTTCAACTGGAAGTGAGGCTGAGGCCGGCGGTTCGACTGGATCATTCTGTGCTGCCGCTGTTGTAGGAAATACGGGGCCTTGCTTGGATTTGGATTGAGGTAAGCCTGGGCTGTTAGGATTGACAGTGTGAAACCTGAATACAAGGTTTTTCTTACTTGCCGGGAAGCGATGAGGGAATGAAACCATTGTTTCATGCTACACAATCAATCAGATGGGCCGGTCAATTCATGAAAATTTGTTGATCAAATCATGATCTCTTACCCATGCGTCGATTTTGTTGTCCCAGAACAACAGTGAGCGGTTCCAAGATGTTCCCAGGGTTTGTGTGCAAGCTTGCATGAGCAAGCTGGATTCTTCCAGCCTTGCCTTGGGCCAGTGGTCAAAATGAGCAGATATGACCTTCTCTGCGATTGCCTGTTGGATTTTAGATTCAAAGTGTTGAGTGGTAGGGTTGGTGTGTCATCAGAACAGAATTGATAAGTGAAGTAAAACCCACGTCAAGCCAAAGATGGATGGTGACGACTTTATTCTCATCATATTTGTTAGCAATTTCCCGTTGAACCGCCCCATATTGCTTGCAGAGGTCAATTTGAATCGTCAATACGGCTTCAACACCCAAACGGTGTCCAAGCGTCTTGGCACTTTGGGCCCACTGGTGAGCACGGGGTCCCCTTGGGCGTGGTGGTTCACTAGTGCTCACGGAGGTTGGTTGAGCTGGAGCTGGAGCTGCTGAGGTCGAGGTGCTAGGTAACGGGATTTCCCTTGGGTTTGCTGTGAGGGTGGCCAAGGGACGCTTGGGTTGGTGTTTGGAACACGGACCCAAACCGTATTTGAGGCAACACTGGAGGGTGGTTACAAGGGTAAGATGAAGAAATAGTAAGTATCCATAGGCTTAGAAAAGAAAAAACAAACTTACCGCTTGGCAGTATTGGTAAGGACACCCCTTGTTGCCAGTGGTGCGGTGTTTCCGCACGACAAGTCCTCGTGAAGGTCGCTGACAGGGATATACGGCTTTGGCACGTTGAGGGCCTACAAGTGAGTCTAGCTGGGGTGGATCAAACGGCGTGAGAGGTGGTTGTTGACCTGAGAACGGGTGAAGGTCATGATCCTGGTTTGAATGATTTGAGGTCGTGCTGAGCTGTCGGGTTGCTGTTGTGGTTGGTTTAGGATCAAGGGTTACCCCAGAAGGAGAAATTCTGGGGCCCCAGTCAGCGGGAGAAGAAACAATAGTTCGTGGAACACCTGCGTGTATCAATGCCCGTTCGTAGTTAAATTGATCACAACGCCAGGTCCGCCAGTTGTGTGAATTGTTCTTGGGAAGTGTGGGGCACTAACGTGTGTGGATGTCGTGAGTGTGAGTGTGAGTGTTATGTTCAAAGATGAAGATGAAAGACTTACATGGATCCGCCATGCGTCTTCTAGCGCTGAATGATAACATAGGGGTGTTGAGCATTTGGGGGACAGAATGCCAACAAGCCCACGCACGGCCGGCTGTGGCAAAAAACCTTCAGTGATGAATACGTAGCGTTCGTGGACCAGAGTAGCAACAACCATGATTGAAGATGTGATTGATCGTGTAGTTTTTGAAGTACGATGGCAAATTCTGGTGAACGTGAGCGAGCGACGATGAAAACGAAGTGTGATAAAAAACCACATGTTCCAGTTGTCCGCTTTGAGCTGGTTGAGACATGGCTGCAATTGAAGGCATCCATATTGGGATACTTGAAACGATATGATACGAGTGGATTGAGTTGGATGGGTGAGGTGGTTTGGTGTTGTGATCGAGGTTGAGGTTGAGGTGACAGGCCGCGTACATGCCCAATCACAATGTTCACATAGGGGTTTGGACTTGGAACGAAGAGGTTTTGGCCTTCGTTACATGACATGGGAAATGCTTCTATGTATGCTTATACAGCATGTGCTGTATTGGGGCTTTATTCTCACAGTCTCAGATTATTCTCAGTGTCAAATTAGCAGGACGTAAACCCGGATCCTTGGGTACTCCCCTTAATTGGAGTGGGCGCGCCCATGAACCTAAGGGCCCGTTCGGTTCCTTTTCAAAGATTATATGACCTGAAAACCAAATTTCAGTTCGCCCCTATCTTGAGGTGCACATCGAGATTGTCGTAATTCAAAAACTGAGATTACCGAACAGCGAACCAAAAGAGGTCAACAGACGTCTGTTGACCTCGTCATGATCAGTTCGCTGTTTGGTGACGACCAGGTGTGATTGTATCTCGTGTTGTTGTTTGACTCTCCCTTTTGAAACGGTCATCCAGACCTTTGTTTTCTTCGTTCATCGTCTTCAATCATCAACTTCAATCTTCTTTCATCATCTTCGTTCATCATCATCGTTCTCATACTTTTCCCTACAAAACCAAACCACCTCTACAGAATAAAACCGACTACCTTGTAATGTCATCACACAACACCGGCTCGAACGAAATACAGCGTCGTGCTCGCCTGTTTTCGAGATCACTACACACTCATGATCACACGCAAAATGAGAAGTTATTAAAATTAAAATTTATCAAACAAGTTCTTGCTATTCAAAAGCAACATTTTGCCATGTTCACCTATTTTAGTATTGGTACTCAAATCTGCATTAGACAACTTCTTCCGCAGCTCTACAAAACACCGCGCCTGACCTCTATTCTCAGTGGTCAAGCTTGGATTGATGAACTCATCAATAATCCAAACAATTTGGTTTTTCATGAGAATCTCAGCATGCGCAAACATGTCTTCTTCGAACTACGTTCTGTGCTTGAAGAAGCTGGAATTCTGTGCGACTCACGGTTTATAACTGCAACTGAGAAATTGGCTCTTCTACTCTATCACTACACCAAACTACATTTTTTCCTAGGGGTGTAGAAAAGTACTTTGCACATAGAAAATAATACTTTTCTACGCATACAACGTACTTCTCTACGCTTGGAGACAAATTTGGTGACTGTAGAAAAGTACATATACACCTTTGTTTTGTCGATATATGCCTGATTGGTTCCCTAGTGTAGTGTACTTCTACATAATATCAGAAGATGGGGCATTGGGCCGGGTCACTCCGGCCTACCGCGGCCATCTTTAAACTAGTGTTCATTTTCAGTTTGTCGTACGCCCAGCCTTACTGTCAAAATTCCTCTCGACTAGCCCACAAATCGCCAAATCAAGTCTCAACACTCGTCATGTACGCTGTAACCCGCCAATGGACAGATCGCATTCACCGTCATTTCGTCGAGTTTCATTGTCAACAACAAGATCATTCTCTCACACCACTTCCTCTCACAAGTCTAGGCGGGCTCGTAAGCAAGTTTCACGTCTTGGATGCTTCACCAAATGGCCACAGTAGAATGCGATTGTAAGTTGATGATCTTTGAAGCGCGGAGCAATCTTCCTAAGTACGTTTCATCTTACACAACGAATCAATATTCACGTTTGTTTTGAACCTAAAACCAATCAAAGTGTCTTTTCAATCTGAACTTCGAATGTAGATCGGCACCGATTTGGTTGATAAGGGTTGATAAGGGTTGATACGATAGTTCCGGGTACTTCAGGGGGAATTTGGTCATTTCAAGGCTCAACCCCGCTCTTTGAAACGGTATTCATCAATCAATGTTACCAGCCGATCTTTTTCTTAATAGCTCCTTCTGTGTCACTAAATATTATGAAACCTTTAGCGCAATCGGACCAAACCATGTCAAGTATCAATTGTTGTAATCGAATACCACAGATCCCCTGCTTCATTTGTATCCTCTGTGACCTGAAGAGCTGTGGAATTGTACCCGCTTGATCAAACTACTCTACTTTCAACTTAATTTGCATAATGTTGTCTCCCACAAAGAAGACTCGTCCAACCCGAAGGCATATCTGCACCTGCCGAGCCCACAACTGTTTTGCTGGCCTTATCATAGACGCAAATGGGAACTCTCGTTCAGGTGTCGAGCTGAGTCCGGAGGCGTTTGAAGCTCATCAAAGGACAGAGCTACGACTACAGGCTCAAGCAGCCGTCAGTGCTCAACCCACACGTCTATCTCCAAGTTCTCGGCCTCGGACCTATATCGCAAGTCAGGATGATCTTGCAACACAGCTTGAAAGAGTCGCCCTTGGTTCCAATCTTCCTGTGGCTGGGAGCGCGCAACAGAGTCCCTCAAGTGATCGGCCATCGACATCAGCTGCCCCTTTTGGATCAAAACCTTCCCATGAGTTGGCCGATATCTCGAGTGATCACAATGCTATTGAGGAGCATATTGACACCTCTGAAAGCCAGCTTGCCGCAGAATCAGCGCAGGTGCATGGTGTTCAAGTTTACAGCTGTGGTACGCTATCTTTCATTCATGATTGATTTGTTAAAAAGTTTGATCGGCCGAAGTGCTTACCCAGATTGGTATTGACAGCACGGTTCTTCAAGTTCAGCTTGGAGTTTATTAACCCACTACATTTGCACGCAGCACTAGCTGCAGCTCTCATGAATATCTTTAGCCACGCTTCGTTGAAGGCTACTTCATGGCTCCTGGACGTGCAAAGAACCAACATCGAGCTGTCTTTGACACATGGCCTGAGGCCCACCTCTTCGCCAGATCATTTTCTTCCTTACGATGTCGAAGTTTTACACCGGATCCCCAGGACAATTGCCACGGTTTTTGGATGGCTGCAAATTGACCCCACGCTTATATACATGAATTGCTGCCGATCCTGCTTTGCCTTGTACCCCCTCGAAAGCGCGCCACCTACATGTAATCATAGAATCTCTAGCATTCCAGGTGGTCCACCGGAGCCCAAGGATTCCGATGTCGAGTTACCTGCCATGCCATCGAACTTCGACTTCACCGAGCGTCTATGTGGTGAACCTCTATTACGTTTCTCTAGAGGAAATCAGGTCCCTGTGCGACGCTATGCTTTTCAGAGCCTTTCTGATTGGATTGCTCGACTGCTTTCGCGACCTTGCGTCGAGTCATGGCTCGACGAGTCCTTGGTAGAATCGGCCAAGCCCTTCGATCCGCATAATCCTGTCCATGATATACATCAAGCCAGACTATGGAAGGAATTTCGCGGCCGAGATGGGGAACAATTTACCGCTAAAAGCGGAAATCTTACCTTCGCAATGTTTGTTGATGGAATAAATCCATTTGGAAACAAACAAAGCGGACACCATGTGTCAATAACCTTCATCGTACTAGTGTGTCTGACACTACCTTTTCGCATTCGTTATCGACCAGAAAACGTATTTTTGGTAGGGGTTGTTCCAGGGCCGCGGGAACCATCCCTCGAGCAAATGAATTGGGTTTTACGCCCAATTGTAACTCAACTGCAAGTTCTTTGGAAGGAAGGCCTGCTTCTTTCACAAACACATTCGCACAAAAAGGGTCGCCTCATTAGAGCAGCCCTGCTACTCTTTATAGCGGATTTACCTGCATTACGACGATCCCTTGGCTTTCCGAGTGCGAACGCAAACTACTTCTGCTCCATATGTCTTTTGACAAAGGCTCAGGCCAAAAATTTCGATTTCTCATCTTGGCCACCCCGTACCACTTGCCAGCACAAAAAATGGGCTTATTCAGCGCGGGATTCTGAGACAGTAAAGGAGCGGGAAACAATTTTCAAAACCCATGGAGTTCGTTACTCAGTTCTAGTTGATCTTGAGTATTGGGACATCATTGACTGTCATGTTGTTGACTCGATGCACAATCTTTTACTTGGACTACTGGCTTGGCACTGCCGACGGTTTTGGTCGATGAAAGAGATAATAGATGATGAAGACAAGCCAACATCAATCAGTACGGTTGAGTTATTGAATCTTCTCTCGGAGCACTCGAATCCACAATCACAAGCAAGATATGTGAATGTTCCTGCACCAGAAGACTATGAAGATGGTGATGAGAACATCAATGATATCTTGTTTTCAGAAAATACGGACTCAGATGACGAAGATTTTAATCCTTTGGGAGAAGGTTGGAACGGTACATGGGAACCTCCACCAGTTGACAAGATTATATTTGATGCACCCATGCTGAAAGAAATCAATGCGCTACTTCCTCAGATTCATATTCCCAGCTGGATCAAACGTGCGCTACCAGTTCTGGGTAAAGCTTCATTTGGCAAATTGAAAGCTGATGAGTGGAGAAATCTATTCACAATTCAATTACCTCTGATCCTCATTCCAATGTGGTATGGTCATGATCAGGTCAAATCATCACTCCTCAAGAACTTCTGTCATTTGGTATCATTGGTTAACCTGGCACTCAAGCGCGTGATGACATCTGAAATCATTTCTTCATACCGCTATCACATCCGTGAATATTTAGAGAGTTCATTCCTGCTCTTTGAGCACTGTAAACCTACATGTAACCATCATATGGCTATACATCTAGCTGATTGTCTTGAAAAAGCTGGGCCAGTTCGTTCTTGGTGGTCATTCCCTTATGAAAGGATGATGGGGGCTATCCTCAAAGCAAGTCATAATAATCATATGGGTAAGCTTGTCTCTGAAACTTTTGCCTTCTATTGATATACTTAACTTCACTTGTTTGTCTTTTGCAAGGCGAAATCGAAATAACATTCATGAAGAGTTTTTGCCGTGCAGGGAATCTTGCAGGAATACTCGAAGACGAAAAGCTTCCTGAGGCTCTTCATCCTTACATATCACGCTTGAAAGAATTATACGAGCCATCACCAAAACTTCGCAGACAAGTTTCGAACTCAAAGATGCAATCTCTTGAACCTGTTGTCTTGAAATCATTGACCAAGCGCTTGAACAAACAAAGGAAAGATGATTGTATATGGGTGATGCCGGAAAAATGGGCTTCAATGTCCAAAGAAAGCTCTCTTGGGTTCTCTCCAGTTGCAGCTCAAGGAATATTTTATAATCAAGTTTCACATTTGAATGTGAACTTCTCAACATTCAAAGCCAGTCGCAAAGATAGTTTCATTATCTTCAATTCATTACAAGGAGAAACCTGCTTTGGTCGAATTCACTCTATCTTTACACACCGCCGAAGTCCGGAGCCAAACAAAAGTACAAAAGATACATGGCTTTGTGTACAAGCATTCCGTGCACTCTCCCCCACTCAGTATAATCCATTTTCAAAAGTTGATGCGCCCGTCCAGGTCGAGTTGCGATTATGGGAGAAGCCTGAAAGTGTCTTGGTAAGATTAGATGAAGTGGTGGCGCACTGCGCCTGGATGATGTATCAAGCTGGTTCAATTCACGAGAGTTTGAACGTGTCAACAGTCGCATTGGTGTCTATGGAACGATGAGGACCTTTGACTGGTTTATTGAATATCTAAAATTGAAATATGTTCATGAATGTATTGAGTGCTTCCATTGTCGAGGTACAAGAAAGAGATACTAGATTGATTATTCCCAATACAATTAACGGATGTCTAGAAGTTGAATAAATTTGTCTATATAATTAGTGATTACATTGTTACAAAGAGATATCATATCAATGACTCACATCATCAGCAGTCGTCATTTATCATCACAGTGATTTTATGATAGGGATCAGAGTTGAGAGAAGCGGTTTGCGTTCAATACCAAGTGCCGACCTTTCAAAAGGCGTTAATGTTTCAAGGTATTGTTGTGAGTAGCAGTCTATGGGGAGACCAGAAGGAGCAGGATGATCAGAAATCGAAGCATTTGGGCACCGGAGTCGAGGGCGTGGAGGGCGTCCGTTACTTGATGAACTACGTCTATTTTCCTGTTTTGGAGGCTTAGGAATACTAGCATCAACCCGTGCTTTATATTCTTCTAAAAAAATAATAGTATCTGTCAACTCAGAGCTGCGCCAAATCAGCTTTCGAATGTGAACCGCAGTTTGTGTTTGGTCAGAGTCGAGGTCTAGACAACCCTCGTGATCCGTCTCGTCATCGCTGCAAGCCGCTTGGATGACGGCTGAAAGGGGCCACAGAGGCTTTTGTGAGAGTACTATACGTTCGCGTAGCTTCTTTGTCTGTTTAAGACTTGCATCAGTCTGATGGATGATGGGAAGCGAATTGAAGAGGAATGAGCTCACATAACACAGTCGGGCACGTCTTCGCCCTGCGCTGGCAGTTTGCTTCTTTCGCCTCTCGTCCCAGCTTTCTTGCTGATACCTAAGTGTCAGGGTTGCAGATTAATATGTTTGTTAGCTGATGTTGGAGCGCCTGATGCTGAGAGAGGGAATAAGACAAACTGTTTCATAAGAGACCGGACTCGTGTATTCAAGAGCTTTTTGAGCTGTTGTTGGTTTGCTGCATCAAGTGACACACCAGGATATTCACCGCACTCAACTAGCTTGATGAATATGCTAAACGCGAGGTCCCACAACCATTTATTCTCGGCAGAGGATGGTGATTTGGAGAAGTCGGGACGAAAGCTAGATACTCCCACAAATTGCATCATGGTCCGCATGACTATCAGCTGCTGTGCTGTTGCTTTGGGATGTCGTGGCCCGTCACTTCCCAGAAGAGACTCGTCAAAAGTTGGTGGGGATTCTGCAGGGGAACGTTGACAAGGTTCAAAATCGTCAAGGTCAACATCAATCTTCCAAGCCTTTTGATCTTCACCAGTCGCCGGAGCCGGAAGCCTGGCTGAATCTTCGGTATGACCTAAGAGAGTGTCAATATGGAGCCGCATCCAAGACTACTGGGTGATATCAGCTTAGTTCTTCTTGCTCCAGACACAAAATGAGGACTCACTGCAGATCTTCCGCCGCGCACTTTCGTCTCAGGCGAGGGGGTTGGTTTGACATCTGCAAATCGACTCACGATCTGCGATAAGATGGCCAAATCCTTGGTCACGAGCTCAAGTTTACGATTAGTTTCTGCCAGTGAGTGTTTAAGTTGATCTAAAAAGTTGCCACTCTTCAGGAATCACATCAGATTTTATCCTAGGGATTCATACAACGACTCACAGTATTTGAAACGCCACTGGGGCTCGTCTTTGTCCTCCTCCAAAGGACCCTGACCGTGATCAACAAATTCATTAACCTCAGGGGCTGGACTCGCCGAGGCAGGTTGTGGCTGGGGTTTCATGGAAGGCGGTGGAGATGTGCGAGAGAATGCTGGCTTTTTTGAAGTGGACTCGCGGAAAGGGCTGTGCTTATCAGAGATTGAATCTGGTAATCCATCACTGGCCTCACTTGACGATTTGTCGTCGTCTGGTGGAAGCCAATCGTCGTCTGAAAGGTCTGCTGGCTCAGGATCACTCGTCGGAAGTAGTTTAGAGGTTGGGTTAGGGCGAGGGTAGAGGAAGCGTCGATGTTCGAGACTAGGAAATGCGTCTTGGAGCACATCCTTCTCGGTGGATTGTTTCTGTGAAGATTCGGCTGTGAGATATAAAGCATCAGAAATTGAAATACACTGGATGATGATCAACATACTAGGGAGGTACTAACGTGGCTCTTCTGTTGGGCTGCGCTCTGAAGACTCGCAAGGTGAGAAAGATGTTGCTCTTCCTTTACCCTTGCTTCTTTGTTTTCTGATTGATGACTCGGATTGACGAACCAACTTTTTGGCTACTCTGACCTTAGCTTTCTTTGGGTTCTTGGGAAGTGTTGGACCAGCTAAAGTCGAAATTTGTACTGGGCCTGTTGGTGCAGAACCGTGAGTAGTACGTGTTGAGCTTTGCGTAAGGGATGGTTGCTGTTCCAGACTAGGAAGTGTGTCCTGGAGCACATCCTTCTCGGTGAATCGTTTCTCTGAAGATTCTGCTAGTAGATGTAAAGTGTCACATCAGTATTACACTAGATCAGCATACTCGGGAAGTACTAACCTGGCTCTTCTGTTGGGTTGCGCTCTGAAGGCTCGTAAGGTGTTCTTTGTTTGCTGATTGATGACTCGGATTGACAAACCGAGTTGTCGGCCGCTCTTTCCTTAGCTTTCATTGTTTCCTTGGGAAGTGTTGTACCAGCTGCAGAGAAAATTTGACCTTGTCCGGTTGATGTAGAGCCTTGAGTGGTATGTGTTGAGCTGTGTATAAGGGATGGTTGGCCGTCATCTGGGTGCACAGGTAGAAAGGAGGTCAGCTTGCGTCAAATCCACACACTATGATAATGACATTCAAAAACACATTACCTTGATGTTTGTGGTGAGACACTGGTCCAGCTGATAAGGGAGTAGTAATTGATACTAAGTCATCTTGGTTGACATATTTAGCAGATCAGAGTTGAGATTGAGTTGACAAACCAGTGAGTATGAGCGAAGGGCCAGCTTGAGGTTTTGGCAGCGCAAATCGGAACATGTGGCGAGGTATGCGAACTGGGCAAATTGTTTCAGACATTAGCACTTTAAGCCAGCGTGGGAAATGAATCAAACCCATACGTACTTAGATCACGATTCTGATTACACAGAGCAACCAGTTTATCTTTGGGAAGTGTCTTGCCATCTAAGCCAATTCCCTCGACAATTCGAATCAAATCGGGAAGGTCGAGTTGGTTGAAATCGTAATCATCTGGGGCAACTGGATCAGTATGCTCAGCTCCTGCTTGAACATCCTGTGTTCCGTCGGGAGAAGCTTCATTGACGTGCGTTTCTGGGTCATGTGCTGTAGGCTTGGGCCTGACTTCGCGAGCTGAGCGAATCCTTGAGGCTTTGTCTTCACGGGTGAGCCTTGGCCTCTTAGTCTTCACGTACTTATCGAGGAGGTCGACCAATCTGTTTCGAGACGTCTTGGGTCCAACCGGAAAACCTAAATCACCAAGACGACTGGGTGAATCTTGTTGCAGTTCAGGTGTATTGCGTCCTATAATCCCGGGGCGGGGCGGGTAATAAAACATTGAAAATCAAGTGGTGAGCGTAATTAGCGTTGATGACATTTTTGTAAAGCTTCCAATGAGAAGATGCGTTCTCAGTTCAAAACAAGACATAGCTTACCGTCCGCTGAATTGGTAGGTGAAGGCGAGCGCTTCCTGCGCTTTTGGGAGTTGGTTCTCGTACTCAAACCACTGGGAGCTGAGCTAGCTGGCGGTGGGAGATGTGGCTGTGACGTTGAAGAATGCACCTCCGGCGCTGGTTGAAGAGGGGCTGTCCCAGGTGCTTCCGAAAGTGTGGGTGTGTTTTTGCCTCGCAAGCTCCGACGAGGAAGACTCTTTGAAGAAGACGTGGTCATTGAGGGCAATAAAATAGGACAAACGAATAGACTAATATGTTAAGAATAGAGCTAGTAGTCACAAGACATTAAACGTGTCCTTAAAGAACTTTCTAAACCTGACAACTACGGATCATATAGGTGTAGGTACCCTTGGTGGACTGCTGATCGGCATCAACAAGATTGATGGTATAAAAAGTTGAAAGGCTACTATCAAACCATCCTCGTCCATTGTTCAGTCAAGAGATGTAACCTGTTTCCATGTGATGAGGTTTACATCCCTTATAATCGATCTCACCACAAATTGGCGACATGGAAACACTCAAGGACCATAATTAGCTACCATGAGCTGTTATGTGGGACACATCAAAGGGCATCTGGCAAGTCTGCTTTTTCGCGCAAGCTGCAGACTACTTCCACCACTCATCAAACAACGTGACAGAAGTGGGGTGCTTCTACATTCACTACCCACTACCTTAAGACAAGTGATCCCAAAGGGATCTGCACACCTAGGAAACCGCTTCCAAGGGATGGACAAAGAACCAGGCCACTCGGATCATACAATTGTCAATATGGCTCATAATGATCGCGTCAAAGCGTGAGTCACTCACCTGCAACACGGGCCGAAGGAATTGAAAGATGTGTGTAACAGAACAGAACCCCGCAACAATTCCTGAGCCACCTCGCAACAAACCAACCACACAAGACCACACATTATTCTTGCCGTTGGTTTGTACGCATTTGTACTTATCCCTTTATCATCATCGAGGGTCTTACATTGCTCCTCACCCAAACTCTTCACTTTTAGGAAACGCACCCTCCTCGACTGCTTTAAGTACAGCTCGTCCAATTACGGATTCTGGTCTTCCTCCTCTCGTATCACATTGTAGCATCCTCAACTCCAGCTGAATGACTCCTGAGTAGATATCGCCGCGCTGTGTTTGATCTGTGTCTCGTATCTTTGAAACTTTTGGTTTCTGGTACATTTATCTTTCTCTTGATTGCGCTTAAAATCAACGTACGAACCATTCTCCAACCCAACTCTGAATCTACAACATCACTTTCAAATTGGAACAAAAATCCTTAAACAAGCCTATAATCGAAGCCTCTAAGGTACACGTAATCTTGTCTCCCTCGCCTTTTGTCTTCTTTGATAGATTGTAGTTCAGGTGTACTGATCTTCATGAATCCTTATGTGTGGTTGAATTTCAGTTCCTTATAGACCGGTCTTTGATTGGCTTCGATATACCAATCCGATTTCCTACATTTCCGAATAACTTGAACTTTCCATGTAAGTCTGACTCTTACCACATTCAATCTCTGAAAGCTTGAAATCAGTGTATTGATGACGGTTGATTGATTCTAGCGATGGCCAACAAGAAGGGAAAAGGCTCTGGCTCCTATTCAGTCACATCGCCAACAACTGCAACCGAGATACTCGCCAGTATGCAAAAGAAGGGAGCGGCTGCAAGCCCAACCCTTGATGACGTCTCACCATCATCCGATCGCAAAGGCTCTTCCTCTGCCGATGCTAAACAAGAATCATCGCCATCTGACGACAATCGCTTGCATCCGTTATGGCACGCTGTGCAAACCTTACCAGGAGCCCTTCGCAAGTTCCTCGATCACGACTATATGAGCCAGAAGAAGTCCATCAAGAAGTTAGAATTCTATCTAATTCTATTTCACTTCAACCCGGCCACCACGTCTCGTCCTACCCACCTCAAGGCTAGTTTGGTGGCAGAGTTCGAAAAAGATTGGTTACCCCTCCTTAAGCCGTTTATATCTCCTGCTCCGCCTACTGATATGGACACGGATGAAGACGACTTTGATCCCTTGGCCTCCAGCACCACTCGTCGCATGTTGAAAGAAGTCATCCAGCGTCGAGCTCCTCACGCGCATATCGCTTCGGTTGCAAAGATCGACGGTTTACGCCGACTCTACAAGCAATACATTGATCCAGACCTTCAACTACCAAAATCTACGGAATTCACTCGCAAACCCCGTGCTGTCAAAGAAAAAGCTCTCAAAGGACTTACTATCGAACAGCTTCGATTTGCTATACAAGCCCGCTCCCCGGAGGTCTTCATTCATACTGTCGGATTAACCCGTCCTATCTGTCTTGCCTTATACATTAAGTTTGTCGGTGAAGGGGCCGTTGAGCCTGATATTCTAATTGAGGGCTTTCATTACTCTATCATTGAGGACATCTGACTGTAATGTTTTCCTAGATTTTATTTGTGTTGTCTGGAATTCTCGTACACCTGGTTTGTATTATCACTTTCAGCTCCAAATTTTCTAGTTTTTTCCTAAATCCAGAGGCTTTACTTGTTGAGTTTATTTGTATCGCTCGAACTGGACTGTACTGCCTGTCAATCCAAAATAGTCTATTACTTGTTACACTGTTGCACGTAAGGTCTACCATGAGAGTCGCTCAGAGTCAACACAAATCAGTAGACTGGTTGCTGATATATGTGATGTATAGATTACAAACTAAGTGATCGCATTACAAACCCAAGATACATAAAGGGTTAGATAACAACATCACAATCAAGCAACCACGTGAAAGGCAACATATAATGTCTGATTCAACCAGATTGAACAAAACAGACTGAAACATGGTAAAATCACGTTCAAGAAGGAAAAATCATCACATAGAACTATGTCAAGAGATTTAAACACAGGTCAGGAGTCTGTTTGCGGTTGGACAGTTTGATCTGGTTTCGCATCATCTGAGTCATCATCATACTGTTCCATAAGGTCGTCATTATGAGGTCCCATAAGCTTTCGGATCACCCTCTCTTGTATCTTGATCTGGTGATGAGCTGAATACACCTCTTGATTCAAATCTATCATTTCCACTTCCAATTGTTCATACCTAGACTGAAGTACGTGAATATCTTTGATTGCTTGTCCCAAAAGCAGATTTGAATTACCCTCAACTGAACCTCACAAAGAAAGAACGGAAATCAATTTCTACAATGTTGGCCCACATGACAGCCGATAAACTACATACCATGTTGTTGTGGCTTTAAAGCTTGTGAAGCATTCAACCTAATCTGCTTCTCAATCAGATTCAGTTTACTATTCATACCAGCCAATTCCCCCCCTATTTCGAGAACTAAATCATCGAAATCTACAATGTAATGCGATTTATTTGAGCAGTCAAAACACTGATGAAAAGAGACAAAGCATACCTGATACATTGTGATTTGCCTCGTCACACACATCATCATTGGGTTTCACCAAGGCAGGACACTTCGTCTGAGTACCTACGTCTGTGAAATTTGGTTAATGCCCGCTCGATAAGACTCAGTGGAGCTCGACATTCTTGAAACTCAAAAGAGATAGGTCTACAAACCTTGTTCTTTAACTTCAAGATCCTCGCTTCCAGTCAATTCCGTGTCCTCTGTGACCACGGATACATCTACAGGCGAGTTCTGATTGGATGTGGGCGTGAGGTCTTGAGTTTTGGATGGCTTTGTCGCTATAGTACCTTCAATAGTTGGAGTCTTGACCAAAACCTCCATATCATTCGTGTCTCTAAAGTAAGCTAAGTATTAAGATCAGGCATCATTGAGTTAGTGTGGTTGCTAGTTGTGAAAGTTAAAAGGTTCATACCTTCGGCCTCTTGGCCTTCATCATGACTGCCACGGTTCGACATTGATGACAACTGTGGAGAAGATACCAGTGAGTTCAAACTGTGGAGATAATCAGACATGAATGGATTTGTTCAGTGATTGATAACTTGAACTCACTTTGATGCGCTGGGAAACGAAGTTAACGCTATGTAAGAGGTGGATCTCCTATTTTAACTACAGTAAGTCAGAGTCTCAAGGGCAAAACCGATGTATGTGCCCTCGAAGGTGGTGCGGTGATAGAAAAGTGGCCACAGCTTTAGAGGCCCTCATGATCTTGATTAATAAATTGTGAGGCGTTTACATAAATGAGTGTCAATCCAATTCCATATATTGAAAAAATTACAACTCATCGTAATCCTATATCATGCATGCATCAACTTTCGATCTTTGTTTTCTTAGAAGTCTTCATGTTTTTATGTATCTATTGTTCAAAATACATTGCAGCATATCATCGCACCATTCTTTTTCCAATCTTGACTTGCACAAAAATGAAAATACATATGAATTACATTCAAAATTTGGATTCTGATTGCCCAATCGGAAGGGGACCTGCAAATTATAAACCAAGTAGATTCCCAATCAGCCCTCCTCATCCGTATTCTTTTCGACACCATCTGTAATACAACGTTCCAACTAAACAAACTGCCTAATTTATTGATAACATCATGACTACTCCAATCCAATCACGTATCTTTCTACCTGATTATCTTCTTCAATATGTCGTTGAAGGCATCACGCCGCGGATTGATCCTGACCTCTTCCTAAGTGAAGCCGCCACCACCGAAATTTTAGAGACAATCTTAGCGTTCTATCCTCATTTCCGTTTTACTGCGCATGTACAAGAAGATCGTGATCTGCTTCAAAGGATGTTCATTAGCATGGTGGCACCTCGTCTATCAAATATAATCATACCTACTCAGCGCGATACAAACTACATTCAAGCCCCATTACGGACCCTGATATGTGAACCTCCAGAATCTACGAAAACAGTGGACTCTAGCGCTGATATCGACATTAATCGGATGGAGATGTTCAATAACTTTGCTCTTGCTTATCTCAAGAATGGACAGTACCGCCTGGCAGCTGAAAACCTTAACCGCTTCATCGATAGTTACAAATTTTTGAACCAAGAAGAGATCAATGAAATCGTGGATGCTCAAACCGTTGCCGAAGAAGCTCTCCACGACAGCTCATGCTATCTTCAAGATTGTCATCGTTCCATCGAGGGAATACAGCTCCTTTTACGCCAACGCAATCTCTCACCAACTGAACGTGAAGCGCTTGAAGAGCGACAAAAAACCACAATCACTGCATTAAGATCCAATCAGAGGTTGTTCAGTAGCTGTATCCAAGATTTTGGATTCATTGCTGCGTTGGCTGAATATCACAAGTGAGTCCCTTTTATTCAGTTGGTGTATGATTTCCATGTGACCTAATATGATATTATTCCCGATTAGGAACATCCTGGCTAGTCATCAATCCGGTGCTCCTAATTAGAGACTTTCAACACAAGAAATCAAAACATTCATCTTAAGCCTCCTCAATACTCTTAGCCTCACAGAATTGAGATGTAGCTTTTGGCTCCGAGTTTCCTATCTTATAATAATATATGATGTTGCTCTGGGAAATGTAGCTTTGTTATTCTGCCGCTGTGAATTTAGAAAAGGTTTAAATGGCTGAACCATTGCAACCAAATACGCCTTTCTATTGAAATCCATGCAATCAGACCCAAAATCCACTGAGCCAGATTTCTTGTGAAGTGTTTGAAATGGTGATAGAACCAAAAAAATGATCGAATCCCAGTTTCCGAACGAGCTCATGCACATACAATTAAATCCTTGATCATGAAATCAAACTTTCCATTTGTGCCGCACTTGTTGAGGGCACAATCTATGAGTATTTAAATAAGCTTTATGATTCATCAATCGAGCTTGAAAAACGTGCATTCATGTGTCATATGTTTGGTTTAGTTCTCCTTGTGCGATTGCTGGTGACTGGTATCCGTTGACATGAAGGAGATTTGGCTATTCCGATACTACTGCAGGAGTTCCATATGTAATGGAACGACTGTTGACTCAAGGGTTGTACTTCGTTCAGAATGATGACTTGGTACACTAGTATCCCCGGTGAACTCCTGTATTACAAGATGAGAGTAACATTGAAAAGAAGAGACCAAAACCACAAGCAAGTAAAAAGTACAAAATGCCACCAGGGCCAAGTAAAAGAGAAACTACAATGGATGCGGTGTATTCAGGAAACCACCTGTGACATAGGAATCATCAATCACTATATTCAGATTGGCTGTCAACTCCAGGTTCATCATACCCCACCCCGCTTTCTGACTCCTCGTCACCTTGTTCATGTTGCATTAGTTGTACAATACACCTCTCTTGCGTTTGAATGTCTTGTTCGGATCTACTGCATCGGTGATGTAGGAGATCCAGCTGCTGCTTCAAGCTGGAGACCGTATCCCGAAGTTGATCAAGACATTGAGCTTGAATGTCGAGACGACGTGTGATGTCCTTAAGGGCTTTATCTAGAAATGATGGGCAGAGTCAGTAAAATCTTAGCCGACTTCAAATGGCGAAATTTACCTTGCTCGTATCGCTGGTGTTCATGTTGGATGATCTTGGCAACTGATGTTTCCTCAATGACATCTACTTTTTTCAGTAGCTGAGACACCGATGTCTCAAGCGTAGAAACTACTCATTTCGACGTATCAGTGTATGCTCCATGTGCTAGAAGGATTATGTTACATACTTATCTCCACTCGACGTCTTTCTTCTTGGACACATCGATGCCAGACTTAGTTGTTGATGTTGTTTTTTTGCGTGCTTGTATGTCTTCCGTGATAGCTGCTTATGAGAAAAAATCATTATGGTAATCTCAAATGCTGACGTTGATGACTATCACTAACGTAGATCTTCAACCCCAAGCAAGTCCACCCCTGAGAAATCAATGAGATCCTTCATTTCTGGAGTCTCTGGACTCTTGATAAGATCGTTGATTCCAGTCATTTTTGAGCTTGAAGGAATGCCATTCGAAGTTTTTGATGATTTGATAGATTCTATTTCATAAGATTGTAGGGCTTTGAGATCTTCTGTGCTTGCACTGTCCAATAAGTCGATACACGAGTTGTGCACAGCTGGTGTTGACTTGAGTGGTTCCAAATGCGAAGTTTTGTTTGATTGTGAAAAAGGAAAGACCTTTGCTACTCGCTATTATTAAATCGGACATGAGATGATAAGCAGCTTGGTCAGTATATAATAGATAGGACCACGGACGGCCGATAATCTGACCTTTTTTTCTTTCTTTGAACTTTTTCTTCGAAGCTGAGACGGCCCCTCGTCACCTGATGAACAGTACACACAGTTTGCAATGGCCAGGTGACATGAGCCATTCACATCTGATCAATATGATATTTGTGGAGAAAGATGCGCACCCAAGTGAGCACGTTTGGAAAGCTGGTTGTTGGGAGTGGGGGAACCAGACCGCTTGAGTTGACGTTCTCGTTCTGGCGGAATCGATGGGTGCCGGGGCTCTTGTGGTAAATTGACTGGCAGAGCTAGCTCGTGTAACACTTATCAGAATCACAATATCAACATTAAACAGGTGCGAAATCAAGCTTACCAAAGGTGGCTCGCTTGGCGGGCTTCGCACTGTAGCTTGGGGAACCAGATCGCTTGACTTGGTGTTCTAGTGCAATCGGTGGCTTGGGGACCTCTTGAGGTAACACTGGCTGATCTGTATGATCATAGTTCAGCCTTTAGAACTGTGAAACAAATATCAAGAGGACCAGGTGTGCCATAAAGTCGCTTACCGAATTGACTCGAAGTGGAGGTATCAGATTGATTGACTGGTTGCTCGTGTTCGATTGCTGGCGTTGAGGGTGATTGAGGTGAAGCTGGGGGGGCGCCAATACAAATCAGAAATAGGATTGGATCAAACTGGAAGGACAGAAAGATAAAAGGAGCCTACCAGGCATCGTCGTTTGGAATCCATTCAGTGTATCGGAATTGCCAGGCATCACTCCTGGTGCATCGCTCTGTGGATTGGGGAAAACTTTAAGGATAGATTGACATGACTCATGAGATACATACGAAAGGAATTTGTTGATCAACATAAGAAATACACTTACACTCAGGCTGTTTCTTCCGTACCATCTCGGCTACACTGCTCTTGCGGGTACTTGATATGACTGGAAACTTGGGATAATTGATGCGTAACCAATCCAACATCATTTGCTTTGTCACACCGGGTGCACTTGGATCAAACATTTCTAACCGGAGAAATCCCGACGACGCGATCTGATGTTGTTGTGAAGCTGAACTACAACCCTTGAACATCCGAAAGATGACCACGAGATGCATGAATAAATAGACTCATCAACGTTTCAAGTTAACACATCACGGAATTAGAGAGACATAATAAAGCACAGTATCAAGTTGCACCTACCGCTGCTCGATCTCCAAGGGACTAGGAGAAGGATTAAAGTTTTATAGCAACTATGCAAACGATCCGGAGGAAGACGATGATTGAAGTGATATTGAGCGGAGGAATGTGAGAGTTGTGTCAAGAGTTGTGATTGAGTAGAAATATGAAAGTGCTTCGAAGTGTAAAAAGGTGCCTCCGCGAAGCTCTGCGAGAAGTTGTATCAAGATGAGAACAGAAAAACGGAATGAGGAAGCTTGGTCAAGTCTGGCAGTGAACCAGCAGTTTATATCTTGATCCAGCGTTTAGAAACTCGGTAAGACCTAGCGATGATGAAAGAAAGAAACATCACAAAGGTACTACTCGTACGTCAAACCAGGTGTATTGGAATTGCTTGGATCTCTCGGGGGTATCAAAGGGAGAGTGTAGATGACTCATAGAAGAAATGAAAATCGTGATTCAGCAAGAGACAAAGTAGGCAACCGACAGGAGTTACAAGTGCATCTTACGGAGTTCCAATGACTTACTTGATCATTGATGAGCCATTTTAACGCTTGTAGCAATGAGATGATGTACAATCACTTTGTACTCTTTCGATGACATTCTGTCGTGCCACTCGTGCCCGTTACATACTGAGTTGTGCTTCCATTCATTGTTCGATTCAATCTATGAACGGCTTGTTACAGGCCTGAAGGCAGGATTGCTGTTGGTACTGAGGGTCTGGTGAAAGGCCTGTAACGGTGAATATAAATGGGGTGTGTCGCCGAATGTAAGCATGCGAGTCAATTCAAGAGTGGGGCTCTTGACGGAGAGTCTTGCAATCACGAACAGCCAGAGTACAATTATAGAATTACTTGAGAGGCAGTGTGAGGCAGAAAATAGATACTTTTCTATACATTGTCACTGATTGATTACATGAGTGTAGAAAAGTGCGTTGTATGAGTAGAAAAGTATTATTTTCTATGTACAAAGTACTTTTCTACGCCCCTAGGAAAAAATGTAGTTTGGTGTAGTGTATACTATTTCAACCGGTCTCTCAAATCGCAAACTTCAGAACCGTTTTCAACGATCTGCTGATAGCATTTCTAAGTCTGTTTTTTTTTCAAAAAAAATCTACTACTTTCTTCTGACATGTTTCCTTTTGACTAGAATAATCAATCAACTTGTTAAAGGAATTTCTGGTAATGGGGAGCTACTTGAAAAATACATTACTCTTCCTGATGCTCAAACACCGCTCCCTGACGACTTCTTGACAAATACCAAGTTTATGACTTATTTCAAAGACTGCATTGGTGCAATTGATGGTACACACATTCCAGTCTCTCCACCAGTCTCTGAATATATTCCTTTCTCTAATCGTAAAGGCTATACATCTCAAAATGTCCTTGCTGCGTGTAATTTCAACATGGAGTTTATTTATTTGTTGGTGGGAGCTGAAGGTAGTATGGCTGATGGGGCTCTTTGGAATATGGCTCGAGATTGTGACCTTGCAATTCCAGCGGGAAAGTACTATCTTGGGGACGCAGGTTTTGCTCTCACTGAGACCTGTCTTGTTCCATTTCGAAAAGTCCGTTATCATTTACGAGAGTGGGAAAAAAGGAAATTCAGGTCAGACTTCTTTTTTTATCACCCTTTTCATCAATCTCATCCATTTCTCTGTTTTATTCTTTCCCAACTTTTCCATCCTTTCATCTTAGACCTCAAAATGCAGAAGAACTTTTCAATCTCCGCCATGCTAGTGCCCGTAACGTCATTGAGCGCATTTTTGGAGTCTGCAAGAAGCGCTTCAAGATCATGGCACATGGATGTCAATATACTATTGAAATTCAAATATCTATGGTCACAGTTATGTGTTTTATTCACAACTTCATCCGCGCAAAAGATCCAAATGGTTTAGATGAAGAATTTCCGCAATTTAGAGATGATTTCATTCCTGATCCTCAAGATTTGACTGCACCTGTCACTCAAGATCAAGATGATAACTTAGAACATTTTGGTAGTACAGCTGAACGTAATAACAATGCTAAAAGACTTCGAGATTCCATTGCAGCTGCTATGTGGGAGGATTATCAGAAAGAGACAGAAAGAAGAAAAAAAGTAAATGCAAGTAAAAAAAGACATGGAAAACCTCCCATGTATCCAGGTATCTAGAGGTTACTTCAATTATATTACATCATTACACTTCATTGTTATTATCTTACATGTATTACTCAGTGGTGACTAATACTCTCATTTGATGTATCTCTTCTCTCACTATCTTAACTCAGCTAGAAGCAAATATTCCTTGTAATTGTTTTTGCATTTCTGAGTTTTAAACCAATTACAAGCAGATAACATATGTATATAACAATAATGTTTGCATGATTACCCAGGCAAGAGAAGATAAATTTAAGTTTGTGTTTGTAGATAAAAGGCTGTGCACATAAAAGAGACACGAAATTGACATTGAAAGTAAAGAAATGGAAATGGAAAAATAAAACATGAAAGGTAAATAAACCAAGAAGATAAAGATAAACAAGGGGAAATGGAAAAGAAAACACATCAGTGATAATCACAAAATAAATTGTAGACAAGGTTTCCTCACCTAAACAGCAAGCACAGATAAAACCCATTCATCACAAATCTCAGCTGGAGTGCTGAGATAAGTCTCAGCCATTATAGGCTCATCAGTAAATAACTTGACAGCTAAAAAACATTGTGGGCGAGTCAATTCGGATTTATATATAAGGCTGACAGCTTGAGCATGGACTGAAGGCTTAGCAGTGGTGATCGCTTGAGCAGTTGATTCAACAGCGCTCTCAGTCGAAGAAATAGAAGATTTGAAAAAAGAAGTCATATCATGTAGGTTGGTTGATAATCCGTCAATGATGTCGACACCGGGCCTTTTTTTCTTGCGAGCTGGAGCAGGAGTACGTTGCTTGAGGGCCACCGCAGACTTACCATGTCTATTTGCGGCAGACTCGTGATCGGAGCTAGAGGAATCATGAGCTGAGATTGGCTGGACCTTTTGCCCAACATCTGGTAATTCAGATCCAGATGAGTTGGGTGAAAGGGTGTGGGCATGAGCCGAACTCGATTTGGTAGCTGATGTTGAGGGTGTTGGAGGATGAGTTGAACTTGATGTGGTAGCTGAGGTCGAGGGTGTTGGAGGATGATCTCGAGGGGGTTCTTTCTTTGCGACGATGGCTGTCTTGACATACTTTGCAGTTGCTTGATGGCCCTCCACCAGGGAAGCCAAATCGTTGAATAGGGGAAACGGTCGGCCCTTACACCGGGCATAGTCTTTCGACTTCTTGCTGTCTTTGTCCTGAGAGGAAAGGCAAGAAGATCAGTTTAACCAAAAAAATGAAGAAAATGATCATAATAACAACTTACCTTGCCATTGAGGATCGGATCCCAAACTTCATCTGAAAGAACAATGCATCCATCAGACCATCCAGCCCCACTAGTCAGCGAAAGGTGTTTATAGTCGTTATAGAGACCTCGTAACTACAGAGTTGATGGATGGATCAATGTCAGTAAAGCAAGCAGAAGATGTTGAAATGAGATTGAAAGAAAATGAAAGATGTGCTTACAGCGTACCACCTTGACTTGCAGTTGTCAGCTGTTTTGGGCAAGCTAGTTTTACCTTCGATGATCTTCTTCTCACTACCTTTGAGCTTTTCAACCGCGGTGTTCCAGACGGGCGGCTTGAAGCCACGAGCACTGGTAGCATTTTCGGGTCCAATGGGTTTGCCATCGCCTGGCCGACGTTCAGCAAGGAGGACATCGATTAGAACTTGACTGTCCTCATCGTCCCATTTAGCACAGTCCCACTTCTTCTCGTCGGGTTCGGTAGCAGGTTGGGTGATAGGATCAGTGGCAGAGGGAGCTGGGGTAGGATCGGTGGCAGAGGGAGCTGTTCTGATGGCTGGTTTTGCCCGAGGTCTAGCTGGCTTTTTGTTGGTAGCCATCGAGAAAAAACCTGAAATCGTCAATAATAAGCAGCTTGTGATGATAACGATGATGACACTGAAAGAAAAAAAAACTCAACGTAGACAATAGTCCAAAGTATTTAAAGAGAAATTGAGGCTTGAGCCAATAAAAAATAAACAAAAGAACTAGAAAGAAATTTCAGTTCTTGACTAAAACAATAGATAGATGGATTGACGAATAGTGTGAAACTATAGAGCAATAAGAAGTTGAGAGACACGGTGTGATGGGCTTGAACCTGTCAATCCCCATCCAGAAACCATCAGGTTAACCGTGAGCTGGGGAGGTAGCAGCCTGAACCTGTCAGTGCTGCCCTTGGGCTCCCCAGCTGGAGCGATAGTGGTGATGACAAGAAAACGAAAAGATTAAAAGACCACAGATGATCAAGAACTAACTTGAAGTTGAGAGATAATAGGATGGAGCAAGGAGCAACTTGAGGGAAAATAGATCTGGTGGATAGCGGATAGAAAGATAGAAAAACTACAATAGAAGAAGTAGGAGGATAGCCCAGTGAGGAAAGCGAAGGGATGATTTGGAAAAGTATCGAGAAGGGTGTGGTGTGTGGGTAAAGAGAAAACGAGAAAGAAATGGATGGGGGTTGGGATTTGGGGATGGTGCACATCGAGATAATGGGTCGATATACAGCGAAAAGGCTGTATCTCGATATGGACCATCACATACTGACGTCACATTGTTGAACCAAACGCCGATCAGATTTCGGCTATCTGGTCAAGGTTGGACCGAGATACGATGTGGCGACATGTAATTTTTTTGGTGTAAATTTCGGCCACATCGTATCTGCTAGCGGTGTCCGAACGGGCCCTAAGCATGTGATCTACAAGGTTTTCCGCTGAAATCAGCCCTCTTCCACCTTCAAATCATTTCAAATGAATCAATGTGTGTTATGGGTACCACCCCACACCATATTCTTCCAGTCATGGAAGCATTTACAGTCTGGATTGAAAGTTGCCCCAACAACAAAATTTCGGACTACATTTATGGGATACAAAGTTGAATCCGGGAACGGTCCCGGATTTTTTCCCAAATTTCCAAATACCGTTTTTAGCGGTAGTTTGGATATTGGGAAAAAATCCGGATTTTTTTATCTTTGAATCCCTGGTTGCTCCATCGGCCATTACACCTCTTTTTTCCCAAATTTCAACTCCATTTGGAAATTTGGAAATTTGGGAAAAAATCCGGGACCGTTCCCGGATTCAACTTTGTATCCCATAATTGATAGCAACACATGTTCATTTTTTTTTTGATTTGGTTGATTTTTGTTGTACTATTGCTGTTGAATTTGTTTATAGGGTGTTCATATGAGATCATCAAGGTTTTCTGGGATGTAGAAGATGTGGCTGACAAAGCATCATCAAAAACTTGGCCCATTTTTGTCCTTTTTTCGCGCCCCTGCGCCCTCTCGCGCCCCCAGCCAACATGAGGGCGCGCCTGACCCCTCCGGGCGCATAATTTTTCTCAAGCTTGCGCCCACCACATGAGACTTCTGACTCGCTCTCTTTCAACTCATCCTACATACTCCGCCTTGTTCATCCTCCGGTGAGGTGAACACCCTTCCTCAGCAATGGCGTCTCAGGATACCAACCGACAATCGACATCGTCTTTTAGGAAAGAGTCTCCTCCCGAGGATCTCGACAAAGATTGGGCCTCCTTATTTGGCTCCGAGGGTGAATCTGATGCCGCCCAGCCTGTACGACCGCCCAAAAAAGAATCTGGAAAGAAACCCAAGAACATTGGTACCACTACGAGACTTGACGCGGTAGTCATTGGCGAATCAGACGATTCAGAAAAGGAAGAGGAGTACGAAGTCAAAGCGATCAAGGCTCACCGGATTAAAGTACGAACATGGTGACTGGATTTCTCAAATTTACGGCCTCACTAAGTCCTCCTCGTCTCCAGTGCGGCCGGATAGAGTACAAGATTCGGTGGAAAACTTACGGACCAGAAGATGATACTTGGGAACCAGCAAGTCATCTTGTAGGTGCCGAAAAGATCTTGAAAGAGTATAACTCTGAACATAACATCGGCTCGAAACATAACAGGTCAGTCCGCTTCATGTGCATGTGTTGCACCTTACCTAAGTATTCGAGTGTGGAAAAATTCATTTTGTTTTGAGGCGATTTTGATGTATAACGACTAAACCTTTGACGTACTTAGCCAATCTAGTAGCAAGAGGATGCGGGATGGGGATGAGGACCAGGAGTCTGATTTGAATTCAAAGCAAAGACCTACCCTCAAACGAAAACGGAACGAACACCTGACCAAACATAGTATCCCCCACGCGCGGAACAATTTACGTACCGGTAATAAGAACGACCTGAGTGACGGAGTACGTTTCCGCCCGAAATCAATTGTCCAACCGACTTGAGCGAGCATTTGTTGAGACGATAAATTAATCCTTTTGTGTCAGGCCGAAGATGACGAGTCGATACCACAACAGGAATGGCATGCCCGATATCGTAAATTTGCCAGCTGGGATGTCAGTGCTTGTGTCGCCTTCTTACTTCCCTGCCCACTTATCCTTATGCCGACCATCTACCCTGTCCTCCGTTCACGTTTAGCATCTTATCAAGAGCGTCCGGACCGTCCAAAGGGATGTCGGCAACTGTGAGAGCGGCTCGAAAACGACAGGCGGAAAGAATTTCAGTGATACACTATATGTTTGCTTACTGTGGTACGTCATCTCTTCACTGATAACCACCTTGATGACTCTCCACTTATCCTTAGGAGAGCATGAGGATAGGCAGTCAGGTAAGACAACATGGGTACCCAACTCAGTGGCTAGAATCAAGCTGCCACAAAAGATGCTTGACTTTTATCAAAATGTAGGATGCTGGCTGTACCAACCTCAACAGGACAGCCATGTAGTTTTCTAATTTACTTCAAATCATACAGGAAACAACGATGAAATTATCTTCCAAATCAAAATCCAGAATGAGTCCTGATCACCAACCCTCTTGATAAACTTCGGCATCTCATCATAGTCGCCTTCAATATCATCAAACGACATGAGATGCATAAAATTCACCTTCATCTACGTAATTTCCGGTGTTGTCTTCCTCCTTCAGTCCTTGGTCGGTGGCCTCATTTCACCCATGTTCCATCATTCTCTGCACAGCATAATTCAATGTATAAATACAGTCCCACGGTCGGCAACTTGGCGAACACATAAAGCTGTAATTCCTACACCAAGCTCAACGAGCCATGCATCCCATGTTTTCAAGGTTCAATCTTGGATTCAACAGGGGATCCCCTTCAAAAGCTCAGAAGAACATGCTTCATAACTCTTCCATTATGTAGTCTTCAATGCATTTTATCATTTTTACATGAACATCTAGTAGTCGATACTATGTTTTTCTTCTGTCGCCCTGGGTGTGTAGTTTCAGATGTTTACATGGAACGACCGAATTGTGTGCTGAATAAGTTTGTGTCAAATTGATGAGTGTGTACTGTATAAGGAGCGCGTGCAGTCTGATATACACACGTCCACGCGCCCCAACGCGCACCTAAGCTAAAGTTCAGCCTATGTATTTCATCCCGCGCCCGGCGCCTTTGTGGGTTCAGATTCGATTGCCTCCCCAACACTCACAGCTTTAAGTTCATCAATTAGCGTCCATTGTCATCTCTTCTTTAAGGGGCCATCACTATCTCTGCGAGCACTACATCATGTCATCCAAAACCAAACGTCATTCAACATCCTCCACGTATGGAAAGAAATCACAACCGATAGATCTCGTCGAAGATCAGTCGTCGATGAGCTCCGATGATGGATCTGATTCTGCTCAACCGGTACGGCCCTCGAAAAAAAAGGGTGGCCGAAAATCCAACGATAGCGACGAACCTGATGTTAATCGGATTCTCAAATCGGAGGGGTCGGAAGAAGAGGACGAGGAGGAGGAAGAAGAGGAAAACTACGAAGTCTCCAAAATCAAGGCTCACCGCGTTAAAGTATGGACCGATTCATTGATCTCTTTGGGTACATCGATCTGACACTATTAAATCTGTTCATAATTCTAGCGGGGCCAAACTGAGTACCAAGTTGGATGGAAAAACTACGAATCCGATGACGATAGTTGGGAACCTGAAAGTAACCTGGCTGGTGCGAAAGAGCTATTGAGAAAGTATAAACTCGAACATGACATAGGATCGAAACCCAAGAGGTAAGTGATGGGGTCTTTGCGTCTGTTCAGTTTTCAACACGCATTCACCTCTGCAATTCATTTTCGTTTACGTCGGTTTTGATGTATAGTGCACGAAACTCTACAATATCTAGCAAATCTACTAACAAGAAACCCCGCGATGCCGACGAAGATAAGCAACCTGATTCGACTGCAAAGAAAAGCTCCACATTGAAACGTAAAAGGGATGAAGAAACGACTAAAGGTAGTATCGCCCCCTTGCGTAAGAATGGATTCGCGAGTAAGAAAAAAGACGTCCCGACCGGGCCGCCCTCCGAACAAAGTGGTTCACCCCAGGTACGCCTCCGTTCGGCATTGCTTGAAACTCAAGCAGAGTGCGAGTTGAGCGCTAAATTTGAACAATTCGAGGTAGGCTGAGGCGGATTGTGAGCCAGACGAACCTTGGGAAGTGAGTATTTTCTAACTCGTCAAACTTTGATCGAGTCACCCAGTTGTGATGTGCGCTCATTTTGCTTACTTCAACTTTTTCAGGATCATGTTAAGCATGTTATCACTATAGAAAGACATGGAAGCGAATACGGCCAGAACTCGCAAAAGACAGGCGCAACCCGTTCCGGTGAAATCCGCGTACTACTGCAGCTGTATGTTTTTTCCTCGCCCATATCAACACAATAATCATTCTTAATTCCACGTACTGACAGGAATTTGTCACAGTAAATCTAATAAAACAGCCTGGGTATCCAACTCCGCTGCTAGAGAGAAGGTTCCTATGGTCATGCTAGACTTTTATGAAAAGGTATGTTTTGCTTTTCTTTCTTTCGAAGCTACGAAGTTTAGGATCCCTCTTGACGCACGATTTGTGACGACTTTGTGTCCTTGAAACCTCATACAACAGCATCTGCAATTTGCTAAGCCTGAATGAATCACGTGAAGGAAGAGGTTACAACATAGACTTGATGCGATTATAAGTTCTGCTAGGATGTTTTGTATATTGAGTCTACTTTGGCAACAGATTTGGACTCCTTACGTACCTTCTTTCTTTCTTTTGGCTTTAGTTTTCCTACTCATTGCTTTTGCGGATGCGTTATTCCCGATCATAGTATACTCTTGCACTGGCGAAATACTGTGATGTGAAAAATTGTTTCTGCCTCTGCCATTGCTTGTTGAGGCAGGCCCATTTGTGGCTTCCTCCTTCTTGACTTGCCTTTGGAGCTGTCTTCTGACCATGTCTTGTACTCTTGATTTATATACAAGCTGTCCTGTCAACAAATAACAATGTAACCTTCATGATCAGAGACAGGATCAGAGAAAGTAAAGATGCTTGATTAAGCATGCTCAAGGCAGATGGTTGACTAGTAAGTGCTTTACTGGGTGAAATACCTTTTTCTTCAATGATTCTGGTTCTACCTGGTCAACTTTGGACTTGGCTACTTTGTGTCTGCAGCAAATCCGGCAGGTGCATGATCTAAGCCTATGTGTAAGTTCACTTGTACTGCAGGTGCACTGAAGAATTTCATGCCTGCATATTGACACACTGATAGAATGTAGACAGGATATTTCTCAAGCCTTCACTAAAGTCAACAATTTATAGGACCCTGCCCTTCAAATGTTACTGAAATATATTTTAACCTTTTTGTGGGAGCTTTTTTCAAGAATTCTGCATTCTTGAGGATTCGATGGGACTTGCCATTTTGTTATGAGATTGCTGCAACTCTTGGAAGAATATAAGGAAACTCAAGATCCCAATCACTGTGCCTGTTGAATGTACCCTCAATGTCAAGACCATAGTAGCTTCTAGCAAACAGCTGGCATTTTCTGGGCGCAAAAAAAGATGACATTTATCAAACTTAATCAAGGACCTCTCCCTCACAAGGCTTTGAGAGAGGGACTTACCACCAAAACACAAAATCTCACATGAGAAGTGAGCTGTATATGAACAACAATCAATACATTGCTCTGTCTTCTTTGTTTGTTTATAGACACTCCTTGATGTAGAGGCAAAGGGTGGGCAATACAACTGCCTGATCTTGTAAACCCTCTCTAGAACTCCTCCCCATGGGCAATCCATGATGACTCCTTTGCTTAGTGGTTAAGCTGCTAGGAGCATGTATGTACAAGTGCTTGCAGTCAAAATACAACACCAGTTTACCTTGCCATCCCCAACCAGTTTGCTACATTTTGCTGTATTGACTGTATTGACTACACTGTATATTGTAGCAAGACTTTCTCTCAAAGACAGCAACCATTCATAAGATCAATCCTGGTTTTTGGCAAAGACAATGATACAATTGCTCAGAGCAATGTTATGATAAACACAATGATTGAAAAGAGATAACAAACATACCGAAGACAAGACGTGAGATGTCCGCCACTTGTTTTGCGTTTTGAGTTTTGAGTTCTCAGTTTTCAGCTTTTCGACTTTTGACCTCGTTTTCGATTCCGACCACCCCATCCTACCACAACACACAAGTTGACAATGCACCGCCATCATACCCTTCTCAACAAAAACAACAATAAACCTCATCATCATCAGATTTCTCAGCCTAACATTGGGGTAAGTCTTTGGTCAATCTAAAAACTCAAAGCTCAACAGTCAAACTGATTTGAATGAATCGATTTTACAACGTGAAAGCCACATTTGATTGCAGGTGACTTACTACTTTCCAAAGGGTGTAGCAGAATACCACTTTGGTGGAAGCTACGATTTGAATGAGTTCAAGAATGACAGGCACCCTCTTGTGTCATCCACCTAATCATGATCATGAATCATAGTTCTTTTTGAATACATACCTTTTGAATAAATGTGTTTGAGTCAGAAAAATGTTGCTATCTAATATAATCAAAATATATGTAAAGAGTTTGTATAGAACACCTATGCACAACAAAAGAAAATAGCCTTGTCAGTGAGAGATTAGTCAAATGTTTTACGTAACATAGAAAGAAATAAGTGACCTATGTCAACTTCAATTCTCTATTATTGTTTCCTACTCTTTACATAAACAATTTTTTTGTTCTTTTCATGATGTTCATTCTTGAATTGGCCTGTTTATATCATGAGAATGTGTTATACATATCACGAGCTCAAGTATTTTCAAACTGAAGAATGTACCAGTTGGTGGCACCCGTAAAAGCTATCCTTTCTCCTTTGACTTTGTTTCCTCAAAGTTGTTAAAAGAAAATCTTCATTTATCTAAATCTCAATCTGTCTGTATTATCCTAAATCTCAACATGAATGACAATATAGAATGTCAGGGATGTGGCAAGCACTTCACCAGAATGACAACAACCATATGCGGTCATTGCAAGTGGAGACAAGAGAATCCCGACTCTGGACCATGCCAAATCCCTCAATGCTCAGGTTGTGGGAAGTGTTACCCTTATCTTTCCGACGATCCATGTGAATCATGCCAGAAGGACCTTCATAATCGGAACTCAAATCAAGATCACAGATTGGCTTTGGCCCCGGCAGTTCCAGCTTCTCCAATGATTCCACCTTTGAGTGCATCAAATCTTCCACGTGAGCTTTTCCAGGGAGGATTACTCACTCAACCGGCTTCAAATACCCAGTCCAACTCTTTTGCCATTGGCATAAATCAATCTCGGGTCAAGGCTCCTTACGTATCTCATAGTTCTTCAACTGGTTTTAATTCACAACTTCAGAATTATATTTGTACGTCTCAATCGGGAAGGCGAACTGTTGGTCAGCCAAAGGGCAGGAGAAAGAAAGAAGTGGAAGTGGCCATAGAGGAAGAAGATCCGGAAGTTGAAATCACAATGAGTTTCACTTACTCCAGTGGAATCGGAAAGTCCAATGTCAATCATGGTCTCACACCTCGGAAATTTGAAATTGACTTGAACAGCTCTGATTGGTTCTCGCAACTAGGGTTGGATGTCTATGCGTATTATAAAGAAGAAGCCGAAGCTTCTTCATTTCCATCCAAGGATCAGATTTGAGAGAAGAAATTCCAACCACTCCCCCAAGAATTCTCACCCGCCTACTGGGTCATCGCCGACAACGGAGTTTCAGTTTCCAAAGAGTCCATGGCATCATTGCTTGTCCGTGCACGGAAAGAGAAAAAGCTTCATAAGACAAGGTTTGGGCTGATTTTCAATATGAAAAAAATTCTAGCCCTTCGATCAGATCCTCCCGAGCCTGGGAATCTGTCGTCCAAACCTCAAATCCGCAAGCGGAAGGAAGTCTCTGATGAAGATGATTTCGAAGATACCTCAGAATTGTCTTCTGAGCCAGAACGATCTCGCACTCAAAAGCGCAAGAGAATAGTTGAAGTGTCTGAATCTGATGAAGAAGAGTTACAACTTACAAAGGAGATTACAAACGAAAACTCATCCGATTCAACAGAAGAGTTGAGTCCTTTGATTTTGCAAGCCTCAGTACAACCAGATCACCAAAACGATAATCACAAACAAGTTGAATATGAAGATGTGGATCAACTCAAAGCAAGTTCACATGATGAAGCCAAAGTTAACAACGAAGTTAATGAAGACAATCAGGATAATGTAAGTGTATCAGTCAATACCAACATCACACCCTTTACGGTTCTGATAGTGTTTTATTGTCTTCACAAGATTTCCGATTATTGGGCAAGAAACTTGCGTTACACAAATACAATCTCTGAGGTCCATGGCGTTCTGGTAGGCCAACTACTCAAAGATGAATGTAAGTTCATTGTATTCATTCTTGAACCCAACTATATAAGTCCTAATTCTTTCCAATCGGTCCATTTCTAGTGATGTCTTTAGAAAGTTTTGGCAATACACATGATCTTGGTGGGTCCGGTAAGAGGATACTTCCATACCCTGATCACCAAACTTCAAACTGGCAAGCAGGGTGGCTTCTTGCACTCATCAATAAGGACCATGACATCGTCTTCAAACCGACTACAATAACTTACCGAGTGGATCGAGGCGAATGTATTGGATCAGGCCAAAACATGAACTGCTACGAAGCAGAATTGCTAATCGGTGATCGTGTTCATCACGTTGTAGCAAAACAGTACCGAAGCCCAGATTGCCCCTTGTCGTATTATCAAGTCCAAGCGCAGTCATATATTCATACTGAATCTGTGATCAATCGATTCAAATCTAAGGTTGTGGGTAGCAAGAACTTTACACGTCTTGACAAGGATATTGTTGAAAGTTTGAGGGTTTGTGTAGCTCTTTTTTTATTGCCCTCAATTACCCAACCTGATTGTGTATTTATCCTTTTCAAAAACTAGACTGTAAAGTGTTGGGTTGTCCAGGTAGTGTCAAACAAACAACCAACCAAAGATGATAGTGCGGGTTTCTGGCTATTTGAAGAAAAACTTGAGGGTCAGAATGTCAAGTATGTCGCAAACAATGACTTCACTCCTCCAGAGCCAAAGGATACTACTCCAATCCATGAAATGCTTCATGCTCTTGTTCATGAAGACTTTGAGGAAAATAAAGGCCGTGACTTTATTTGTGATTTACAAGGTGTGGGTTGTACACTTACGGACCCAGCATTCATTGATCTTGAGTAAGTGGTGCATTACAGCCCTTTATCCGCAAGAATCCTTCTGATCAATGTTTCTCTAATGCAGCAAATCCTTTGGTAGTGGAAATTTGAATTATGACAGGAGGAAGATGTATTTATCTCAGCACATATGCAACAAATGGTGTGAAAATTTGGGGCTCAAATCTGTAGAAAAATGGCGTGTAAAATTGGGATTCACTGCAAGAAAACCGTGGGGGAATAGATGATCTATTAAATCAGTTGTTGTTAGGGTGTTCAATATTTTTTTCTAATTATTCACTACTAGTAATTGTTTATGTAGATAGAAAGGAAACATATCAATTGTTGGAAGTGCTGGTGATCATTTGTAGAGCTCAAGCATATCTAAAGGAATTCATGGCAGAAATGAGTGTGATACAACTATTCAAATTGTCTTCATTCATGAGGTACACTTGTCTCAAAGAGTGCAATGCTCTGTGTCACACAAGAACAGTAGCACACTGACCTGGTACTTCTGGAGTTGTTCCCACTTATTGCAGCTGTGTACTTGAGATTGCATTGTTCTACCAGCATTGCTGTTTCTTTGTCAACAAAGAGGTGGTGGGCTTGTCTCCAAAATTAAATTAACATAGTATATAAGATGTTGTTTGATTTTTTATTCATTCCACAACTGCATCCATTCAGGTACAAGTCAAAATCAAAGCATGACCACTGTATATGGATAAAGATCTTTTTCTTCAAGGATTAAAGTTGTAGTAGTACTCCTCATCATGAACAAACTCTTCTAAATGTAGATCTACTTGAATAAGTCTTAACAAGGGTAACACCCGGTTAGAAACCAGCCATACATTGTTGAGTGTAATTTGTTCTTCTTGCACCCCCAATCGCTGAATCAAAGTGGAAACCTGTACAGAAAATTGAGGAGGAGTAACTTGTAGAAGCTCCACGCGGTCTGGGTACTGATCCTGAATCATTGCTTGGATGGCCTCACGTGGTACAGGATTGATTCCTTGAGTACCATTGTAGTTCTCAGGGAAGTAGAAACATGTATCAGGTGCAACTCTAGTTGGGAGGTGTGAGTCTAGATTTTTACGGGTGCGGTATGTGTTCTGTGTGGCCATGAAAGAATTTATCACTCTTTGAACTGAAGGGATCCAGAGGTGTAAAAATAGAGCCCTACCATAGTGTGATACCATCATGTGAGAAATCTAATACAAAAAAGTCAGAAATATTTCAATGACACTTACTTCTGAAGGGGTTCAAGGGGATTATAAACTCCTGTATCAATTGCCAGCTTTATATCATCCCGTAAAGTGGTATTCTTTGCTCGCATCAGCTGTGACCACAGTGATTCAATCTTCTGGTTGTGGGTAGATGTTGTGTAGTGATGATGGTTTAGAGCATCCTCAAGAGGCTCACCACAGTAGATGTGTGGCATCAAAGCCTGAAATGTAGCCATATCCCCAGTCTCGGTTCCATGATCAGTGGAAGTTTTGACTGGGAATCCTCCTACAGTGTATACAAGCTCTAGAAAATACAATCCAACTACTCTTGGGTTATTATTTGTCCGGCCAACTTTAAGACTTAAAACCTTCCTTGACCACGTATCAATGAAACCATAAATACATATCCCGTAAGGCTTGAGTTTATCATGCCCATCACTAGCCCAGAGATGATTGGGTCCTGGAACATGGAATATTCTTCGCTTGAGAACACCATGTCGGCGAAGTTCAATACCTTCAGGGTCAATCAACTTCATGAGACGGTAGACAGTATCACGGTTGATCCGGATATGATGATTTACTGCAAGGTTTTGTTGCATTGTGCAATAGCCAGCATGTCGATCTTCACCCTCTATTGCTTCAAGTAAGATATCTACCACCTGATCTACAGTGACACGTCCTTGTTGTATATCATCACGGCGCCAATCAATCCCCAACTCCTTGGACATGGTTTGGACATCATGCATCTTCATAGGAATGTCATAAGTATTCTTGATAGCACACAGGGCTTCTAAACGTGTGTTTCCAAGTCTATGGTACTGTAACAGTAAAGGATAAGTATGTTCCTTTTGCTCAGGAGACATTGGTGCAGGTGTGTTGGTGAGGTCAAAGGTCTGGAGAGTCCGCTGGAGAGTTTGCAAGGATGTATAAATATCATGATCATTACTAAGGTGAGTGATCATCATGGGCTGTGTTATACCTTCCTCACAATAGCCAAGAAGTATAGGTTCAAGTATTTCATCTGGAATTTCATTGATGTGCACCATGATGTAGTGATGCAATGGTGGAGAGATGTGTGTGAAACTTCAAAAGAAAAAAATTAAAAAGGAATTGAAGATGTGGAAATCTTTGATTCCTTTAATGAGGATGACTGGTTATGATGAGTGGTTAACACTGCGAATATAATGTATTTTTCCAAGGTGAAAAATGATTACATTTATTTCACAAAATAATTAAAAATGCATTATTTCTGCATTATTTCTGCATTTTTCTGCATTAATTCTGCATTATTAATCATTTTGTGCATTAATGTCAATCATTTTTCACCTTGGAAAAATACATTATTTTTGCAGTGTAAGTGGCATGAAGTGCAGATGGAACAAAAAAAATCACAGGTTGAAAATTGGATTTCCAAAATCTCATAACTCAAAACTTGCGGGGAAGACCTCATGTCTTGGCTTGCGGAGACCTCATGTCTTGGCTTGCGGAGACCTCATGTCTTGGCTTGCGGAGACCTCATGTCTCAGATTTGGTACAGAAGCCAAGATTCAAGGTATCTGCCACACTCACCATTTGAATGATGATATAAAACCTAATCTGCAACACCATCACAGGTGCAGGTTACAGTAGTTGATATTCCATTGTATGTCTGTTTAAGCCAGGAGTGTTGACCTATAGTATACTGATAGTGGGCGCAAAAGTATTGGCTTAACAGATGTAGGTGTTGTGGATGGGAACAGTGAGTTGTAAAAGTGTACTGAATGGCATATAACATATTTCGTGCAATATCTATGACTTGAATCTGATAATTCACTGATTGCATGAGAACTTAGGAGGAGAGAAGCTGAAAAAGAATTTAAGATACTCCTGGGATGGCACTCAGAGACTTATGTTTAGGTTTTTTAATCACTTTATCCATTGTTTTAAGTCTGTGACACCTGCTCGACCTCTAGCTTCAGGGTTATGCGTCGAGATGAGCTCAAGGTTCAAAGAAGGAGGTTTTGCAAGTGACAGAGTTAAAAACAATGGAAGGAGGGAAAAATGCGCCTAGAATGCTCTGAGCAAAGATGATTGGGTTTAAAAGGTGATTGGGAGACAATTGGAAGAGTGATGATTTTGAAGGGAAAAATAGTTGAGAGAGAATCGAAAAAACGATTTGAAGGAGAATAAATCGTAAACATGAGTGATGGATATTCAAAAAATGGGATAAAGGACCCTCCCACTCAAACATATGGACCCCTTGGTCTCTGACTTGATCAAATATCTCACTGCACCAAAAGGGTCTTGACCTGAAACAAATGTGCCACACGCTGCCATGCCAACTCAATCAATTTCAAAACGCCCCAGCTATCTGGATTTGTTTCCCTGATTTGTGATAGACGCCGTGGGAACGCTTGGGATCAAAGCTTCTGATCAAAAACGGAAATCATTCAGGGTGCCCAAGGTTGCCCACTCTGTACGGCTACAATGAGTTCCTCAGGTGATCTCATCGTGGGCAGAGCCGATGCATAATCACGCCAATCGACGTGGCAAACACGAATCTGTTCACCACTGATTGCGACCTGATGGCAGCACGGTCTCACTGCTGCTGGCTGCAACGGTGAAACTCACATCAAATAATACTCTGGGCGATATTGGCAATAATAAGATAGGGCATATCACTATAGATCACTTTAATGCAATCCATACCCTTTTTCTTGTAAACAGTAAATTTCTTCTTGTTTTTCCCCGTTTCCTTTTTTTGTTACATAATTCTGCATGTTCTTCTCATTCGTACGCTCTCTTCTAACAAAGAAACAACCCAAATCGATCCGTTTTTTGTGTCTTCTCTCTCTCTCTCTCTCGGTGAACTGTGGTGAAATTGATTATGTTTCCGTTAAATCTTCTCTCTATATATTTTTTGCTAAGAGTGTTTACATATATATATAGCAATAGATAAATAAAGAGGAAGAACAAATCAAATTCAGATGAAAATAAAGCTTTTTAACCACATGTTTTGCTCCCTTTGGATGGAGATGATTTGATACATGTATATTCACACTTGCAAGAGTGCTGTGGTCGTTGGTGTGATGCGTTGGGTGTTTCGGTAGGTTGTGGTGCGAGGTCGGAATTGAAAATGAGGTCGAAAGTCGAAAAGCTGAAATCTCAAATCTCAAAACTCAAAACTGAAAACGATTGGCGGAGATCTCACGTCTTGTCTTCGGGGGTAGGTCGAACTTTCGTATGGTCACTGATAATTATCAAACTTGCAATGATAATTATCACTACAGGTCCCAATCGGTACACTACAGGGCCAATACCGTCCTACAGAGATGCTTATATGCAACCCGCTTTCACTGTGAAAATAATGTATTTTTCCAAGGTGAAAAATGATTGACATTAATGCACAAAATGATTAATAATGCAGAATTAATGCAGAAAAATGCAGAATTAATGCAGAATTAATGCATTTTTAATCATTTTGTGAAATAAATGTAATCATTTTTCACCTTGGAAAAATACATTATATTTGCAGTGTTTCCACCCACAAGTCTCGCAGGACGTCTGCCACGTGACCGCGCCTGCGGGCCACGTGATCTCTATTCACCCACATTCATGGGTATAGAGCGGCATGTCGCCGCGCTCACTCTACAGTCTAGCGCCATTATGTACCGCGCGCATACCCTCTACACCACAGTACTTTGCGCATACCCTCCAGACCACAGACCACCACCCTACCCCCACCTTCCCTGACGCACGCCCAGCCGTATCCTCCACTCATCTCACAAGCTTCACTCACCTCGCGTCACCCACCTCCGGACTGACACTATGATCATGATGGACTTTGTTATTCGCCTGAACAAAGAACAACCCTCCTTAGCCCAACGTCTCACATTGGCCAACCTCACCAAATTCATCAACCTCGCAAGCAACGTTTACCACCGTGCTCACGAAGTCATGAATTTGACTTCAACTGATACTCGCCTGCTCCCCTTCCTCAAGCTAGCCCTAAAACTCGATCTCGACCCATCCGAGTGCGAAGTTTTATGGAACCTCGCGTTTCCCTCGCTTCCATTGGCCCACCTCGATTCAGCGAGCCTAATCCGGACGTACGGACTCCATGAAAGCCTCGACAAAGACACCAAGGTACATGAAGTATATCTCACACCTCCGACAAAGACTTGCATCGTCTGCCAGCAACCTTCTGGCGAAAAACTCCTCACAAGACCTCGAATTGATGGATATCTATACGACCTCGACGGCGTCCACTCCGCCGAGTTCCATACATGGGGCTGCACAGGTACCTACCACCTTACCATTTATCCAAGTTTCCTCCTAGCTGACTGTCCCCACATGTCAGATTGCGGCGCTTATTATCGGCCTTCGTACTACACGTCAAACAAGGAACGATTCTATTACACCAAAGGCCAGGGCGCCCACCCCGAATACTACCAGGTACACTGCCACTTCGCAATGTCACACCGCCTGGCAAAGTCGTTCCGGCAATCTCAAATGCTCGCCCAGTTAGTTAATCCCCATACTACACCCAATTTGAATATACTGCTGGAATGACTAAATTGAAAATGGAAAGCATGTCCAACTTCAATATAGTCAATCTATTCAACCTCACGCACATACAAGGCCAGCATCTCCCAACCCATTCAGGCGTTCATATCACACCTAAGATCTCGCAAGAGGTCGCTCACGATGGGTCTGACCTCTTTAGTCTCCTTAGAAGATGCGACCAACGTGGGTCAGTTCTCCATGTCCGCGCGAAAGGAACCAATGCGGACTGCTTTGTACCAGCCATGACGCGTGAACTCTATCACATAGCCAATCACGGGTTGGCTTTCCGGGACCACTTCTGCTCGTTGTGTGTCAGAGCATCCAAAGTCGAACACGATGGCCACGCAGCGATCAAAGGTGTGCATTCCCTTTCATCACCCCTCCCCATGTGCTAATGCTCGCCTTGTTCAAACCAGTGATTCGAGCCATCGTCACTGATGGCCTTACGATAGGACACTGGCGCTGTACCGCCTCCTCGGTCCAGCTTGAAGAACTGGCTCACCGCGCCGGCGACCCACCACCTAACGGACCTTGCCTTAACCCACTGCCCAAAGTTACCTCGCGGTTCTGTGCTGATCATGAGGTGAGCCTGAAGGGTTGGTGTCAGGCACAACCATGCACTGCACTCGCCGAACCAGGATCCAAGTCTTGTGTCAATGAACGTCATCAAGCCGCCATGGCCACCTTCGAAGGAAAGAAGAATCACAATTTCTCACTCAAATCGATGCTCAACGGCCCCGGATCTAACCTCCCGTCCGATCCTTCCGTACATCTCAATCCCGAGACTACCGAAATCATTGACCTCGACGAACTCCATGACGCAGACGAGGCCGCGCGCGATGGTGGCGAGGCCCAACCTAAGATCACATCAGCTTGCAGCCGTTGCCGCACCCACAATGACCAACTCATTGTGGGCACTTGCGGAATCATATTGAGCAGACGGACATTTTACAATGCGGAAGCACCAAGCGCTCTCAGGGTATGTTTTCTCGAACGTCTCACTTTGGTAATATGCTAACAATGCCTTTCATTCGTATTCAGGACTACTTGGTCGAAGCGTTCCCTGAAGGACTGCCCGAGGTTATTTTTTACGACAATGCGTGCAATTTACTAAAGGTGATCCACAACGGGGACAGGGATCCCGCCCCGTTCAAACACAGCATCATTCCCGTAGATCCGTTCCATCATCGTGCTCATAAAGAGACTGATGAATTCTGTCAAAGGTACACTGACCCTAAAAAATTCCCTGATCTTCAAGAGAATGGCTCTTGGATCTTCAATGCGTCCGCCGGTGAGCTGAGCAACATCTGGTATGGCGGTTTCGCATCCATGTGTCGCAACATGCAAGCCACTCGTTACAAGTATTTCCTTGAAGACATGGTGGAGTGGCGGAACTTGTGGCTGACGGATGCATTATCTGCACGCAAAAATGTGGAATATATTGGCCTTCATAAGTTCTGAGGACAATCAAGGTCAGAACCTATGTCCTCCTTCATGAATCCCATTCACAATTCGAAGTTCTTTGTGCTCTATGCACAATTTCTAACTCTTTTGTTCCCTCTGCAGCCCGGACGTCCTCGCACGGCCGGCTTTCAAGGTTATGTTGGTATGAACTTAGGGAGGATCACAACGGAAATATGTCATCACCAAAACTTGATTGTCAGGAAATGATTTACTTACAGGAGTATGTGTCGTTTGAAATTATGTGTCACACCTCAGTATTTCTCTATGTGTTTGAATTTCAATAAGATATCTTATCGTACTCGTGGCGAGACACAATGATGCTACACAATGATGGCTGTTTGGGCTCGATTGGCGTAAGTCTATGCGTTCACCTCTGCTCCGCAGCGCAATGCAGCAATGATTCCGTCTATCAATGGAGGACCTAGCTCGAAAGGCTCCATCCAATGCTAATTGGACCCCTCGCACTGAACCGCAGGGCTCCAATGTAAATCGCAATGATGAACATGACCATCACCATAAAAGTTGGTCATGGTTGAGAGACAACGCCTCGAACTTTACAAATCCCACTGAATTTGTAAGTGGGACGCAAGTGACACAGGTTAATAAAGAGTCACCATTTTAGCCCCGTGCGCAGATCAACTGCCTGTGAATGTGAACCAGCACATGTCATAGGTAACCATGCAATACCTCCACTTGTGGTTATGATTGTGGAGTGCATTAGGCCTATCACACACCAATGTGTGCCTATGCCACCATGCGCTCATAGGGTTGGTGGTACTACCAAGGGAACCTAAAATTAAACAGGTTGTAGCATTTAAATTGTTTTCCTGTCTGAAATGTGTCCATTTTTTAAATTGTTTTCCTGTCTGAAATTTGTCCATTTTATCTTTATTACATCAATAAAAAGAACAAATTTATTGCCACATACATAGCAGTTAGCAAGAATGTAAATCATGCAATCCCAAACCACTTTATCTTTGGGTCATTATCTAGAGAGTAGATAATGACCCATTATCATGGGTCATTGCGGAGAGCACTGGAACCAAACCACATAACATCACTGAATGTTTGCCCTCAGTGATTCCCATGGAAAGAAAGCTAAAGAAGGCAGGAATGGGTGACCCAAGGTAAAGGCAACCCACACCCGCACAGCAATTACCTGCTGTAGATAAAGGAAACAATTGTTTCACATATTAGGACTAGCCTAGCACAAAGATGGATGCGCACACTTTTTTTTGTGTTCAATAAAGTGCTTTTGTTTTGTGGACCACGCATCTTGGCCCACACAAAAAGACAAAAGGATGAAGGGTCATAATAAACACAAGGTCTTTCTGATATTGAAATTGAACACAAGGTCTTGTTGGGAGTTGACTGGGTTTTAAACAAATGAACCATGAAGAATTGATTACAAACGCAGAGGCTGATGCCAAATTTTTGTTTGAACCACCAAAAGTTGGTGTGACAATAGTTTCACCACACCTGCTTGCTATCATGTTCAAATCAATAGGTGCAACCAACCACAATGTCAGCCTGCAATGCTGAAATGGAAAGGAATGTCAGAGCAGAGTTCAGGCAGAGGGCACACCCAGGAAGCTTGCATGAATTGCACTGGGAGCCTGCCCGGGGTGAAACACACTTATAAGGTCTGCATCAATACACCAATTGGTGATGCAATGCAAAGGGATGGCTCTGATTAGCATGGCTGGGCAAACACCATGGCCATGCCTTGCCCAGCCCGCTTCAAACCGAAGATTACTAACTGAAGATGTCACCACGGGCAGTAAGTAATCTCATTTTATGATTGTCAAAGCCGATCATAATGTTGGTGACATCTTCTGAATGGATACGCTGACCAGGAAATCCCGGTGGGCAAAGGCAGTGATGGGATTGTGAATTCCGCCATCCTCTCCATCCCCTTTGGGGATGATGGCGGAATTCACATTAGGCGGCTGTATGGATTTAGGTGGGTAACACAACATTATATGTTGTATAATGTTGTGTTACACAACATATATATATATCAAGGATTGCCCTGGGTAGTACAATATACGCAACTCACTTTCTCAGGGATGGAATGCCCCAGTGACTTACTTTTGACAGTTGACAGACAGGTTACGTGAGTCAGAACCATCAAAGGCCACCAAACCAAACCAAACCAAAATAAACATCAACGCAGTTGTGTCTTTCATCAACATCAACCACCAAACCACCAACACACAATCCAGATTTTTCCTCTGGATTCTGGGACTCAGGGGGAGGACCAACCATTCTATCATCTACAAATATATATTGTAATGTTGGATTGCAGTAGTGATCCCACTCATGGAGCAGTGTGTGAAGTTTAAACTTGATCAGCAAAGTTTGGTGGTTCATGACTGAGGTGAGTGTACAGTGGAAGATATGAGAGGTGACTGGCAATCAAACATTTTTTTTAAGTCGATGACCCCCGTCATCCATTTGTGTGGTAGTAAATAGATGAGGTCATGAACCAAACCAAGTATAAAGCTCTACCTAACCTATAAAGCTCTACCTGTTGGGATGATGGGATTGTGGTGTGTGTACATCTGTAGACTACGACCCCCTCTTGTTGCACCCTCTGATATGCAATGGTACGTATCAGAGGGTGTATAAGGTTGATGGTAGGTTTCGAGCGGTAGGATAATAGGTTGATAGAAATACGTATTGGGAAAGGCTCATGATATGTCAATAGTGTGCAATACTTTGACGAGTAAGTAAGACACATTTGAGTATACACTGTTGTGTGTGCTGATGTGGATCAAACTGTAATGACTTTATGCTGATGGTTTGCTGAGAGTAAGGATCAAGACACTTATTCTAACCAAGGACAACAAATGCACACATGATAACCATCGGAACATAATCATCACAAAGCAGAAGCTACCACACTTATTCTAACCAAGCACAACAAGAGCCAACAAGAGCACAATTGATAAACCAGGAGCAAATTTATTCCATTGCGTAATAAGGGGGTGGTCGTTTGAATCCCACACCGTGACACCACACGCTGTCACATATATGGGTGGCTGTGAAAAGCTGCAAACCAGCAGTCGAAGGATTTCCAAGGAACCAAGGACGCCTATCAAACACATCAGGTGAAGTATGTATCTGGGTCACTATGGAACGTGACATGAACAAGATGCAGATAACTTACTCGTTATCCTCCATGGTTAGATCTGTGATGACGCCTGCGGACCCACGGAACCCTGTGATCAAAGCGTGTCGCTGGTGATATTCATAAGACCAGTGGGTGAAGCACACAAGGAGCGCCGCAATGCTTGCAAGGTCACCTCCTGCGCGATACTTTGGAGCGAACAATGAATCCGAAGTGAGGTATTCTGGTCGGTCGACTGGTTCTCGCAGACTGTACCAGCGGGGGACATTGGAGTCATCGGGTCTGTCTCTGCTCTTACCCTCACGCACAACTATATTTTTCACAATCTAGTTCCGGGGTGAAGCATAAAGGATGATAACAAACTTTCAGCTGGGGGAATAAACAATACTTGAATAAACAATACTCACACGCAGTTTATGGAGGTCCTCTTGTTGTCCAATGGTTAAACGAGCGTTTAACAAAACAAACACCTTGAAGCGCTCAAGCAAGCGTTCCGCGTGGGCATACATCTGGGCCAAACGAAGGTGATCACCCAAAATGTCTTCGCGTTGTTGCAAGGCACAGGCCTGCAGCTTGATTTCTTCGGATCCTCGTCGCAAAACGGCTGGGTAGGTGACGCGACCGTCCCAACACCATAACGCTTTCTTAATGACGCAGACGTCGACAGGCCGGAAGGCCCAATTATAGCTGAGCACGTCAGCCGGGTTATGTGCCTGAGCTCCAGAAGGGATTAGACCAAATGCCAAGCCAGTGAGGTTGTCGTCCTCGTCGACGGGTTGGTCAAATGGCAGTGATCTCCAACCGAGCTGTTCAGAAGCACTCAGATCCAACTGGTATGTGCCTGCGTTTAGTGTGGGCGGTCGAGAGTCAGTTAGAAGTGTCAACATCAACATCACGAAATCAAAGGAGGACGCACCAAAGCCTATCATTTGATACAGATCCATTTACTGGTTTGTAACCTTGAAATGTCAAAAGGGAACAGAGATCGAATGATAAAAGGGGAGTGTTCGATGCAATATCGAGGTGCACAGGGATTGGGTGATTGGGTAACAGGGTAGTGGGGAATATTTGAACAAATCAGTGAAATCACAACCAAGAATGGGACTATGAAAGTACTTCGTTTGTGATGTTCAACGGAAAGTTAAAGAGGGGTTTTTATGATGTGGTGAGACCGTGTTAAAGAAACGTGTGACCATCTCACATTGTCACAGGGTCCTGACGTCTGAACGGTGGGTAGGACCCTGTCAGGAGGTATACCTCGGAAACAGGGTCCAACTGGAAAAATGAGACGGTGAGTGTTTGATTGCAGATGGAAGGGGGCCAGGCAACAACAACGTGCAACAATCTCGCACAGGGAACCCCAATTAAGACTGTGATGAGAGAGATAGAAAAAGACCTTTGTAGGTGTAGATCAAAGAGATAACGGTCCCTTTTTTTTGCCCATATGAGGGAAATACCCAGGCAGTTTAATTACCACGTCAGTGTAAGGGAGGCGTGGCACTCGAAGATATGGCGTGGCTGTTGCCTTTACGCTTGTGGCCCCGCGAAGGCTTGTCCAGAAGACGTTCCGAAGCGATCGTGGTCTTCAACTTGCTGACTTCGTTGAACTCGCGCTGAAAAGTATGCCGTGCTTGACTGACCCGGAGATTGTGTTGATTAACGACTCCAACTTGAGGCCATTCTTGGAACCATTGGCGCATGGTTGGGTTTTTGACTTTGTCGATAAATCGCCAGTAGCGATTGATGGTTTGCTCGTTAAACCGGTAGGTGCTTCCATAGCGGACAATCCACTGCGGTACTCGAGTGCCTCGCACCGAGGAAGCATCGAACCATTCCAGCAAAGAGGACACGAGGAGGTCTTCTCCTGGCCATTCTTGTAACATCACATTAGCAAAGGGCTTCTGGTCCAACTTTTGAACCCCGGGAGGACATGTCAGCAACGTTCCTATAATGGATATTATAAAAGACTCTACTCACGTCCGAGTCATTACCATCGTGACCAGCGACAGGCTGGTCCGGCCGGCTGAGAAGTGTATCAGGCGTGGAAGGATGAGCCGTTTGGTTGGCGGTGACCGGCGACATTCGTCCATCTTGCTGCAGATTGTGAGCGTTGAATTCCGAGTCCGAGTCGGGTTTGTCGAGAAAGGATATGGGATTCTCGGAAGAACCAACTTGACCTTTGGAAGGGTATTGCTGGGGTGCTGACGTTAAAACCTGGATTGGGTCTCTTAAGTGGTTGTTGGCAATATCGGCTGCAGTTGAAGATGATATAGGGCCTGGTGGCTTTGGCAGCATTGGTTTGCCCAAACCAAGACTTTCAAGGGCGTCCTGAAGCTGTTCAGTGAGGGCTGTTTGCTGGCTGGGTAGGCAGTTGACCAAATTGCGGGCCGTGGACTGGTATCGGTTGGGGATACACACCGAAATGTCACGCTGGTATGACCAACCAAAAAAACAATCAGCATGAATGGCTTACGTTGTTGAATAGCAACAAGGTAAATGATGACACATACCCAGTTCCTGACCATTTCATCCCATACAAGCACGTGCTCATCCCAGGAGGCGCCGGCGGCCTCTTTGGCCTGGCGCACAAGCCCAGGGCAGTCGGCAAAGATGGCGACCGGCCAATTCTTGAAATGGTGAGTGATGACCGGTGGACGGATATCCTGTAATGTAACCAAAGATTCAAAAGAAAGAAAAATGAATAGTGGACACCATTGTACTTACTTTGATGACCAGGTGGAGGCTCACCACCTTACCTTCGTCGATAGCAGGATTGGAGGCCTTTCGTTGTGTCTGTTCCTCGCGAGCTCGTTCAAGTACGGCCATGCTTTCGAACGGAAGGATCCGTCCGACTCGGCCCACACTTTGGGCGCACTGAGCTGGTATAATCTTGGGTCTTTTAGGTGCAGGTTGTTCTTGCCGAGGTATTGCGTTTGCTGAAGGTGGGTTTTGCTGGGCGGGTGGCTTATCTCGGTGTACGTAGCAATCACCTGGAGTACCGAAAGCCTGACAGCACTGTCAGGGTGTGTCCAAAACCAAAAGGACGCCATCAGGGAGGCTTCCAAAAGATAGGATACGAAGGCGAGGAGTCAGCTTACCGATTTGCAGTGTTGTCGGACACAGCCAGTATGGCCCGCCGGTCAATGTTTTTCGGCGGTCTTGCCAATGTCAGGTCAAGTGCATTTGTTGGGCGGAGGGGGTCGCTTGGGCCGGTTGTTGGCTTTGGTGGGTGTTGCCTTCTCCACAATCATACCGTGAATGTTGATCGATGGTCCATGAGCAGACCGGTCGTACGGGATTGGGTATTTCATTCCAGCGTTGATCATTGAGATCTCGTGATTGAGCTGGTTGATGAAGAACGTTCGATAATAGTGGTTGGGACTGGTGGGACACTAAAGCATGAACGAGAGAGATGGCGTGTTACGTTTTGGATCCCCGAGGATGTATCAATAATGATTCGGAAAGAGGACTCACCCGGACTTTCACGGTATCCTCACCGGCTTTGATGTAGGTCAGTGATCGCATGTTGCTTGGAGGACAGCCAGGGCAAGTGAGCCCAACAGCGCTGCCATAGCTTGGTTTAGGTAGGTCTTCTGAGGGGTTGACACGCCGGTATTCAGGACTAATATAAGGTTTTCCTGGTTTGCCGGTCATAATTAAGTCGTACGGTTAACGAAGTGTTGGGGTGTCTTCGCCGTGACCGATCCATTGTGGGATGAGGGTGTTGATATAGGGTGTTGGTGCTTCGACGATTTTTTTTGGTGTTTCATCCATGAAAAACTCTGACGCGATGGAAAAAAAAATGACGTGGTGGCTGGGGGAGACTATGGGATGTAAGAGGTGTGGACGACTGGTGTGCACGGGGTGGCAACCCCGGTGCGCAGCGGAACGTGACTCGGGTCAGCACGTTAAAAGCATCTGTATAAATATTGTTATGTTTATAATGATGCGCGGTATTTGTATGCATTACAGGCTGATAATTATCACGTGATAATTATCAGAGGCCATACGAAAGTCCGATGCTCCCGTCTTCGGTACAAACATGATATTTGAAAAAAACTTCATAATAAACAAGAGATTTCAAAAAAGAAGTATTACAAAAATATTGTCACCAATCATGACCACCATACAACTACTTCTAGCGCAACCTGGATATATTGCAGCATAAATTCCACCAGCAACCAAACACAGTGCCCGTTGGATGCGACCTTGCCGGCAAGGTCACATCTATTGTGTAGTTTTTCTCACAAAAATGAGTTCTTTGTTACACATCTCTCTGAGAAACATGAACAAAGGCAAATTTTGCTCATAGCTGAGAAATGCTGTTGTTCAGCTTTGGATCCCCAAGTGCCTAACTGTTGTGGTATTCACCAACCATGTTTAGAGCTTGTGTGTGTGTAGTTATAGTTGCTTTAAGATGGTATTAAGTGTTTTACCAAAGACAGTGTTTGGTCAAGGAATTCTGCTCAATATGAGTATCTATTTGTTAATGAAGATCAAGAACAAGGGTCACAAAGAACAAATGATAATCAAATTAGGTAGCAGTCAGAGTGTGATTAGGATTTTCTTTCTTATTTGGGAATAGGTCGTATGTGACCTGCGATGTTTTTCTGATTTCATTTAATCTTGTGTGTTGTGCTGTTACTCATATTTAACTACAACCTTTGTATGAATTCTTTCTTCCCTCATTGGAAACATTTATTTTACGCTTTCCTTAACTCATCTCCTCTTCCCACATCTATCTTTTTGCCTACACGGGCTGTTGCTTCGAGCACAGTTTTGTCTTGATCTTTTCTCAATTTCTCTTTTTATACTTTCTTACTAACCCTCATGTATGCGTTGTGTCAGGTGTGTAGATGTTTTTAGAGATTTTTGTAGCTCGTAGGCTTGTGCCGTCTTAGCTCACACTGAACCTGATTGCCCCAGGTTAGTAATTAATGATCAGAAAGATCTATTTTACGTTTTACTTAACTCAACACCTCTTCCAACATCTATCTTTTTGCCTACGGGTCCTGTTGCTTCGAGCACAGGTGTGTAGTTGTTTTTAGAGCTTTTCCTAGCTTGTAGGCTTGTGCCATTTTAGCTCACGCTGAACCTGATTGCCCCAAGTTACCCTTCCTTTCTAAACCAGCCTTGCCACAATCTACTCCAAGTTCTAAAGCTGAATCTGATCAAGATGTCAAGGCTCTTTCATATCTTTGGAATTTTGGAGACTGAGATTCACTTGTGGCAGCTTTGCCTCTGGGCATCAAGCAACATGTAAGCTCTCTATACAACAAGCTGAATAACTCAAGTATCATCTGGCGGTTTTCCCTTTCAGATTTGGGTATTGCAATAGAGATCCCCTTCCAATCCAGAGCGTCTACTTGTGTTGCCTCTTTTAGTTTTGCTTGGCAAACCAAGCAACATATCAAGGCATCCTTGGCTCCCAATGTAAGAAAAAGAATTGGGCTCTTCCCGCATGAAGTCACTTTGATCAGGCCGTTGTTCATCTTTGTTCAATCAGAAATTCAATCAGAAGAGGAATCTCTAAGCTCACCATAGGTGTAAGCAAGGTCCTCAAGGATTCCATCAAGAGAATATCTGATCAAAGACTGGATATCAAGCATATTTCTCCTGACTCCAAAATTTGCTATGACACCCTACAAGTCAAGAATGATGCTCAAAGTTCTACTTCCTATTGACCAACTGACAGCCAATTGCTCACAAACCGTCTCTCCCTTAACATACACCATAGCTCTTTAGCTGCCAAAATTCAATCATCATTTCCCCAGATCTGAAGTTATGATTGATACATAAAATCTGACAAACCTATCACTCCAATCCATTTCCTTGCTTGAAAATCCCGTGGGAGGGGAAAGACAAGAGAATGGCAGAATTTCAACCTGTAATTATTTTCAACAACTGTTTTGCTGAGCATTCATGCTTTTTGTGGTACTTGGCCTCACTCAGCTACAGGTGTGTAACACCTAGCAAAATGTGGGATGGCCTGTCTGTCCAGGATATGAGACCATCCAGAAAGGTGCTCTCTCAATGTACATACAAGAGTGGATCTAGAGACCCTCCAAACCCACTCTGGAAGGTACAAGAGGCTGTGATTCAATTCAATGGCTAGCGACCACCACACCCAGTGTTCAACATGCCCTCAACAGCAGGTCAAAGATTTTGTCCCTTGAGTGCAACAGACACAAAATGAGAACATCAAATAAGCAGAGACCATGTCCCTTGAGTGCAACAGACACAAAATGAGAACATCAAATAAGCAGAGACCATTAGCATAAAAGCGGCTCAATGGTTTCTATTGAGACACTGTGCCAAGTCTCTATGTTCTCGAGCAACTCTACCACTATAAGTCCGTAAGTATGATTTGTCTGCCAAAGACCTCCACCGGCCTGCTTTCTTCAGGTGTTGTAATGAGTAACCTAAATGCACCTTAGGTGATGCCCCCCGCTCCTCGAGCTATGGCCAGACCACAAAGTCTCACCGTTTGGATTATGCAAGTTCAAGAAAGAGATGACTGCTTGGCGGCTGATTGGGGAACCACTGTTGAAACCAAAGAAAGGGGGTTTTCTGGTCTACCAATGTGTTTGCTGATCAGATCCAATAGGGCGCGTACTAGATTGAGTCAATTAGGTTGATACGTGAGACGCAAGTACTGGAACTTGCCTGGTGCCACTGTTTTTGCCAAGCGTAACTTTATGGTGGCATGCTTCATGTCATGGCTGGATTTAATGTCTTTGCGTCTAACAAAAACCCCTGGGTGTGCGAGGTTGAACACCAGCTCCCCTAGCCCTGCCAAACCCCAGAATCCTGTTAGAACTACGCTCCGCATGACTACGTCTTCAAATGATCCCAGGTCCAAAGCGCTTATCAAGTGGTTAATATGCATCAAAGTTAAGCCGACTTGTTTGGGGCAAAGACTCTTGACTTTGGTCTTCTTGGCTGCAACAAGTAAGATCCATAAGCAATCCATTTCTTTGGGTCTCCTTTCTGGGAGAGGCAAAGGGAGAAAGAAGGGGTATGACCTCTTCTTATCTTCTTGTTTTGTAGACACTCCACAAAATATAATATTTTCTGGGCAGAAAATACAAATACTGACACACAAAAATATTGAACAGTCAGGGAGAGAGATAAAAAAAAAATGCACATTGTTCCCCAACATTATGGGTTTAGAACTTATGTGTAGTTGAGTGATGCATGGGTTATGAGGAGTATACAGGTTTCAAGTTGAAATTTTGAATTTTATGGGTTTTGATAGTCATGGCTAAAGATATGTATGGGTTTAATGTGTTGTGTAGAGGAATCATGGTTTTTGAGGTATGGGTTTAAATAAGGTTAAATTTCAAAAATCCAACAACTCAGACAGATGGTGGTATACTGGGGTGGTAAACTGAAAGAGCAAGCAGGGATCACTTTGAAGGATGGATTCATGTGATTATCAAACAACAGCATTGGCAAATTCAACATTACATATCACTACACAAAATGTAATCTTTACCGGGCGGTAAAGAAAACTAGTGACGTAGAAAAATCCTGAGGCAACAGGAAGAGAGCTAAAAATCTGAAAAAATATGCACCTTGCTCCTAGATGTTGGGGCGTCATGATGAGTATTTTTTTGTATTTTACACACAGATATTGGTTAATGTACTAACAATAAAGGCTGAGAATCATCAAAAACCCACCTGTAACAATACCTGAAATTTGGCCCATGGTTTGAAGACAGGATTTTGAAATCTTCAAACATCAATAACTTTTGCAGTTCTGAATCAAATCACTCAATTTTAAGTTCATCAAAAAGGTGAGTCTTTCCTCTACATTTATCATTCAGACATTAAATCTTTAGCCGGTCTGCAAAAGATCCTACAGAGCGTTTTGTTCCAAACTGTTTGAACATAGGTAGAGAGTTTAAATTACCAGATAACACCCTACTACCTTTATAAAGTGTAAAGAAGAATTGTTAAGCTTTTGAATGAACCAATAATCAAGTTATTTGGAGCAAAATTGCAAAAGTTATTGAAGTTTTTAGACCACAAAATATTTGTCTTCATAATCATGACACAAATTTCAGGTACTGTTACAGGTGGGTTGTTGATGATTTTCAGCCTTTATTGTTAGTACATTAACCAATTTCTGTGTGTAAAATTAAAAAAAAAACTCATCATGACGCCCCAACACCTAGGAACAAGGTGCATATTTTTTCAGATTTTTAGCTCTCTCCCTGTTGCCTCAGGAGTTTTCTACGTCAGTAGTTTTCTTTACCGCCCGGTAAAGATTACAATTTTTGTAGTGTATGAAAAGGGTGGATTTGAAACTCAAAAATCACTTTCAAATTCATAAAAAGTGCTATTTTCAATCATACAACCAACACGCAAACCCCGCCACTGTAAACTGGGCCAGCGCAGCGGTGGCGCGGGGGTCGCGCCGCTGCCTGAGTCTGACAAAATTTCACTGGGGTGATAGCGCTTTGCTCTGCGGTTTTCACTGTGGTACGCCCCGCCGCTGGCCAATTGAGGGAACCCCAGTGCAAACCCTGGGTCGCAGTGAGCCTTGATCGCTTTTTGGGTGTTTGATCCAGCCTTCCGGCCACCCATTTCAACCAGACTCACTCTCTGCTTCTTGAATTGAAACACAGTCACAATGAGGCAACACAGGA